ATGCAAATGATGGCTAGGCTGAGTCAGCCAGCCAGAGCGAATCTAGGGGTTCAGCTCTTTATATTTAGAAGTTTAAACTTCAAACAGAAGTAACTTTCACATTTAGCTATTGAATCAAAATGTGATTAAAAAGTATCAAAATCTCTCTAGTTTTTCTTTTTTACTTTAGATATAGCTGTAAAGCTGTCAATAAAAATTTTACTATTTAAATATTATAGATCAGTAATTAAAAAAACTTTCAAGTCTTACATTTCTCAATGTATTAAATATTGAGACTTTTATCAAAAAAGATATTATAAATGCAAATCATACTGCAGAAGATATAGCTTTAAGAATTATCAAGAAGAACACTTAATATATTATAAGAAAAAATATAAGATCTATGAATACTCAGATTACTACATCAACTGTAATAAATTTTCATATAGTTGATGATATTGATTGTCTCATCACATCAGAGATACTACATAGAGCAATGAGAAGACTTTCAAAGATGCAGCAAAGAATTATATATAAGATGTAAAATAACTTATATTAAAATAAGTTTAGTAGTTTGTACTATAAAAATAGATATATAATTATATTCACAGATACAGCTCAAAAAATATTTTAAAAGATATTCAGTCTATATTAACTATGCTCTCAGTATAGTAATAACATTATTCTTATCAGTTTTACAATCTATAAAGTGTGCTGTCAGCATATTAATAAGATATTTTCAATATTTAGATGAGAGGTAATTTTAAATTTTTTTTTTTTTTACAGATTATACAAGTAAATACAAATAAAGATAATCTAATTTATGAGATCATACTAAATCTCATCTATAATAAAGAAATTGATATTATACTAGTTAAAGAATTTTAAACTCATAGAGATCTAATCTGCTATATATTTAAGAAACATTCTGCGTACAACTACTTCAGTTTTATAAATAAGTGAAATCAGAGACTTTAAATACTGATATATATTTAAAAACACTTTTAGATTTACATTTATATGATTTTAAAATTATAAAATACAAATTAAGATATTCTCATACTCAAGATATAGATATAAAATCTATATTTTTAACTCTTTAATATATAAAATATATCAGCAGGCATAATGAATTCTGAATATAGTTTAAATACTTTTCTCTTTTGAATATCTTCAACTTTTTCTCTTCTTCTTATAGATAATATCAATATTAAATATTCTATATGATAAGTAGAAACTTCATTAAATATGTGAGCTGAGCTTTTTCTATAATGAATTGATAGCTTCAATCTAGCTCTCACTATTGAGTTAAATATACTAACATGAGATTTTAACATGCTCAATCACTTCTAAGTAACATGAGAACTGATCATTAATAGAGTGTATACTCAGTCAGAAGATACTCTATATACTAACTCTGATTATCTATTTCTGCTCATCAAAATCTGTATCTTTAGATATTCAAGTTCTTAGATATTAATTATCTTATTCAAACTAGATACTATAAATATAAAGAAGTTTGCACAAACTTTAAAAATTTATATAGACAGATTAAATAGTCTCAGTGATCTTTCAGATCTTCTTAATAAAGATCAACTGAATAATCTAATAAAAAATATTATAAAAGCTCTGATAGCTGCTCTAAAGATCTTTATCAAAAAAACTTCTGAATATAATACTGAACAACTCTAATGAAATCAAAACTGTCATCATACAATGATGACAATATAGTAAATATATTAATAAAATCTCAACTTTTTTGAAGAGAGTAAAAGTAATATATATAGAGTTTTACAGAGTGTCAAATAAAAGTACTAATAGAATCAAATCAGTATAACTTCAGAAAAAAAAAATATTTATAAAATAATTAAATAAGCTCATTTAGCTGACTATTTTCACTTATCTTCTCTATAAAATGAATCAGTAGATGCAATCAGAACAAAGTTTAAAAAGAAAAAAAAAATTACTGTAAAGAGTTTTTCTACAAAAACTACAAGAAAGAAAAATATCTCAATCAGCTGAGTAAACTATTCTGCAGTGAAGCTACTATTCTTAAAGATCATAGCTTAAAAATATAAAATAATCTATTAAATATAGAAAACATCTCTTCAGAAATAGATAATATACTCATAACTATATTGAAAAAAATATGAACTTTTATTCAGAGTCTGACAGAGATACTCTTTAAAGCTTATCTCAGAATTAGATGATATTCTACTCTATTTAAAAAAATAACACTGATGATATTAGTTAAATTCAATAAAAATTTAACAATATTTTATAATTATTAATTAATAGCTCTACTTTCTACTCTTAGTAAAGATTTTAAATGACTAATGATCTAAAAATTGATCTGAATTGTGATACATAAAAAAGTAGTTTATTCTTAATACTTTAAGACTTTATTAGATCATACTATATCTGATTTAGTCACTGTAGCTGTTCATGATATAGAAAAATTCTGAGCTTGTGAAAAAGTAATCTCTATATTTACTGTGAATATTAAGAGTGTATTTGACATAGTACTTTCAGAAAAAATAATAAAGTTACTATAGAATCAAGATTAATCAATCAATTTAATCAAATGAGTAAAAAGCATTATAATTAACTGTATAGAACAAATCATAATGAATAATTTACTAAGAGACTTTTTTAATATTTTAGTAGAGATATCACAAGACTCTTCTATATCTTTTATTTTATTCATACTATTTATTCAGCCTCTCTTCTCATTAAAAACTCTACAAAAAAGATATTCATACTCAGAATATACAAATGATTTAGCATCATTTAACACTAAAAACTCTCTAAATAAGAATATTATAACTCTTCAAAAAAACTTCAAACTACTTTATAACTGAGTGAATGATAAAAGTCTCATATTTGACATGAATAAAACTGAGCTTACTCACTTTAATTAATAAAGAAACTGCAATAATCTCTTAATTCTACTTAAAACTGAACTACAACAGCATATAATAGAAATGACTTCTCTTGATAAAGTTGTTTATTAATTTGAGATATAACTAAACAGAAACCTCAGCTGTAAAAAGTATGTAAATCTCATAATAGTAAAAATACAATATATAATAGATAACATTCAAACACTGAATAATATAATTAGAAATACTTTTGTGCAATTACTAATACAGATGATATAAATCTATATACTTTCAGTTTTATACTATAGAGCAGAGATCTAATGATCTTATATATATTGAATAATAAGAAATAAAAAGACCTTCAATCAGATCAGAAGTCTTGTTAATTAACTAGATTTTATACTCAGAGATATCATTCATAGTGTATTACTAGTGTATAATATTATATTTATTTTAGCACTACACTGTGAACTAGAGATTCAACTCATGAAACTTACTCTAAATTATTATCAGAAGATATTTGCAATCAAAATCAAAAGATTAAGTAATAGATACTCATTGATACTATACTGCATTAGAGTTACTCATACTTCACTCTATATTACATATATAATCTGAGGTTTTACACAAATAAAAATTATAAAATTATATAATTCTCTAACTATATTTCTCTGAACAAACTCAACTCAAGAAGATAAAATATATATTGACTTCAAGAAGAATTACATTAAAGAACAGATAGCTTAGAACTTCAAAGTTTGACTATAGTAATGATATTCACTAGATCTAATGATCTATACAGACAGTTCATAAATAATAAGTTTTAAACACATAGCTGATGCAAACTAATTGCTATGCTGAGATAGAAATTACTCCGCAGTTGTGAAAGAAAATTAATCACTACTCAAAACTGAGATATTTGACACTGAGATTATAGTTACACTATAGAATTTAAAAAATATTATCAACTCTTCATAAATCAGATATATCAGTAATGTCTATATATATTTAAACAATTTTGAGATGATTTACTCTCTTGAGTCTCTAATAAACATCTTCAGTTAATATTTTTTTACTCAATTCAAAGAGACAGAGAAAGTCTAACAGAAAAAAGAGAGGTTTTCACACATTACTTACAGCAGAGTGATTGTCAGATGAGTCTCTGATCATGCAGATGTGATAGATAATAAAGAAGCTAATTAAGAAGTCAAAGCTACAACAATGCAGACAGCAATTATGAAACTAGAAAATGTCTCTGACTCTCTAGTCTACATGTGAAGACAAATAAAAGAACAAGTTACACAAGTCTTCAAAAACTACTAAGCTCACAATACATCATAATAATATAAAAAGTTTGAAATTTTTTTATATAAAAACTCAATTGAGATAAAGCTCTCATACTTCATACTAGAAAAACTTTATACATTCTGTACAAATCATGAAGACTTTACTGAGTATCACAATTATCTCTAATATAATAATGCTGAATGATACTGTCAATATAAGCATTTAAAGATTTCAAAGTACTTCTACTACTGCTATCTTATTAAACATACAATAATAAAATATCATCAGTTAGCATATAATCTTCACAACATACTAGCAATTCTCAAAGACTCTCTAGAGTTTCATGATTGATTAAGAGAGACTGAATTCTACAAAAAACCTGTTCAATGCACAGATGTTATACTAATAAAATGCAGGTTAAGTCTTTTATACTATTCTTTTCTTTCTTTATCTCTCTTCTCTTTTTACTTTTCTCAAGCTCAATCTTTCTTACATCTACAAACATCAATCCTAGCTGCAAGGCTTTAGTCCCAAGGGCTCTGCCGGTGTAGCAGTACAGCATCCCACTAGGCATGCATTGTATTATAGCTATATAATAGGTAGTTTTGCTCTGCCCACCCTATAGCCACAATTGGCTCCAGATCACGTGCCCATGAGCGCACGTGACACGGTCGTTAAATATAATCTCCCTTCTTACAACCACGAAATCAAATGAGATGAAGCTTGTATAGCATTTCATTAAATAGATACTGATGTATCAACACTACGATTAGCTTTTATTTAGTCAACTTTGCTGGCCCCTTCGCGAATTAGTCTTGACCAGCGATTTTATTACTAAATATTTGACAGACTATGGCACCCCCGGCGATTCCAACGGTCACTCAGGGCGGCGGGATGGCGGTAACTCCAGGAGACGCTCAAAATGCGATGCGGGTGTCAACCACCGGCGGAGAATATGAGCTTGAAGAAGAGGAAGAAGAGTATAACTCCGATGAGGATACTGATTTTGATGCTAACGCGCCGGCTGCGGATGACGATGAGGACGAAGACAGGGAAGGGGGTGAAATTAATTGGGGGGCTGATCGCGATCGACCTAGCAAAAGGCGGAAACTATCACCCGGTGCAGATGATGGTGATCTCGTGATGGATGCCGGCTTTGATTCGGGTGATGAGATCACTATACGGGCCGGGAAGGAAATGATGGAGAAAGTGAGAAGGAGGAAAGAGATAGAGAAGAAGACGGGGAAAAAGGGCAAGAGTATAACAGAACGAGACAGTTATGAAGATGACGCGGATGAGTTTGAGATTGACGATGATGACATGGGTGGATTCGTGAGAACTAGGGGTATGAAAATGCGCATGTAGGTGTTTCATATTTCCTTGTGTGCAGGTTGTTTCTGTAGAAGATGCCTTCGTACAAGGGCTAAGTTGGCTCACTTTGCATTCGTTTCTTATAGGCATGAAGAACAACGGCCCTTAGCGAGAGCTGATGGTGCCACTGTGGACGTGGATGCGCTGTGGGAACAAATGAAAACAGTTGGGCCCAGCCCCATCCCTCCAAAACCCATCGGCCAAGAACCAAGCGGCGGGATGACTTCAGAACGAGACAAACAGAATGACAGATCAACAACCAGAAAATCTTTACGCCAAATGTTAGACCAAGCACATCCATCGTCAAAGACGCCACAAATTCCCCCTAGCGAAGAAACCGTAACTATAAAACGAGTCTACAAATTCGCTGGCGAGGTTGTAACAGAGAATAAGACTGTTCCCAAAGATTCTGCGGAGGCAAAACTTTACCTTTACGAAGAAAATGCTAGGAAAAACAAACAGTCTAGAAGCTCCAAGGGAGCGGAGAAGGACAATGACCCGTCTGATGGTGGTAACATTCCGCTTCGAAGACCGCTGCGTAAATACTCCCGATTCGACCCTAACACCCCTGACTTGGTCAAGAAGAGTTGGGAAAAGAACGTCGTTGCCCCCAATGGTGCTGGCGTTGGGGGCGGTGAACAACCCAAGGGACCCAAACTGAATACTGTCATGAAATCTCAGCTTGATTGGGCCAAATATGTCGATCGGACAGGCATCAAAGATGAACTTGACGTGCACAGCAAGGCTAAGGAGGGATACCTAAGCCGGATGGACTTCTTGAATCGCGTGTATGCGAAGAGAGAAGAGGAGCGGCGCAATGCAAGGTTGAAGAATTTATGACTCTTGCAACAAGAACTGAGAATTAATATCAATGGTTACAGTCGTTACTCTCTCTTGACATCGGTTGATAGGTTGAAAACGCTGAAAACCAATCTTTCCTGGTAAACAAAATGCAAGCTTGTTAAGAACCTTCAGCGTAACTACCATATACTCCTGATACCGACATTTCAGTATATCTCTCTCGCTTAAGCCTCTTTCATTCCATTTACTGTCAATATATGTCACGACATGGACAGGCCCATACAGCCGCTTTTCCTGGGATGCCCCGCTATGCCGTTCGTTTACCCTTTTTTTTCATCCAGGTCCCAAAAGCAATATATCTACTGTATGCAATGGCATTGCCATCACAGAAAAACCCGACACTATATCTTTTGCGGATGGTTGAGATGTATCCAGCATTGGCATGTATCCATCATGACGGAGCGGAGAAGGGCTGCTGCAATTGATAACATTGGCCCCTGGCATTTTGTGGGACCGAAATGTATGCTCGCGTCGTGGGGTCAAACAGCTGTAAAAAGTGATACAACTAGTGGAATGTTGGTTGGGGCCAATATTCTGCTTCCATTTCTATTTTTCTCAAACTGATATATTTTGTTCTCCAGGCAAACCAACTAGTTGACGAAGAGTTCGTTCCGGAGTATGGTCATCAATCAAAGTGAGCTTGCTGTAGATGAAAATACATGTTGAGGAAGACGTTTTTAATCCGACGCTGCAACAATCATTTCGCGCCGTTTCCTCCCCAGCCCGCTCACGGCCTATTATTACTCCCTGCAACGTCGCACGGAAATTAATCGGGCCATTCTCCTCCACAGCCACACGCGCTTCCCCGTCTCCTCGTCAATGAAACTGTGGCGTAGTCTAATACCTCTCATGGGATTGGGTTTCCACGCCCTGATTGCCAAAAAAAAGTTGGGGGTTGGGGGGGGGATTAAATATATGTTGATCGAAGCGCTTGCTGCCTCCATGATATGGTTGTTTTTGGACAAATCCTAAAATGTTATATGAAGGTGAAAGACCTCTCCACCAGCCTCTTCAGGCCGCCCTAGGCAGACGGACAGGCGTCGGAATCTGTGTGGACGAAACTGGGTGATCGGACCGAAAAGCCTGCTGCTCTTCAAATGCCTTACGGGGAGATTTTGGGGACGGTTGCGATCATGGTATTGGATACATACATATACATTTATATCAATGCAAAATTGCTGGCAGAGGATTACTATGCAATGGAAATCCCATCTGTTTGTACCACTCTTGTTATGGGAGCAGACTTGATTCTGTATCAAATGAGGGTGCCAACGATTGCCTTCATCCTTTTTATAGGGAGACCCTCAACCGCCGGGAAATGCTATCGGCTCCTTGGCAACTATATCAACCTACGTTATCCAAGAAGACTTCTTGTCTTAAGGACATACAGGCCTGACGAGGTCATTCCACGAGAACCTCGAGGGGTCAAAGGCCGTTTGGGGTGATATCATGGTGCCCCAGCTCTATCATCTTCTCCTTCAGCTCCACAGCCTTCGATTAATGTCCAACTTCAATTAATCTTTCATTTGATATCAAGAAACATCCATCCATTCATTCACTCATTAAAGTGTTTCGCTACTTACACCCATGGGTGATCTATATCAAATTGCCCCCAAAGCTCAATCGAACTAAATCGAATACATACAAGGGAAACTCTCAATGGAATAAACTACTAAAACAACCGGAATCAAAATTCCTGTGCTATCCATGCCGAAAGCCACCATTGATGGATTGAAAAGGAGATAGAACATTATTCGGGTATAGTAAAGGAGAATAATTTTATACCATTGCGTTGTGCATACAACAATATTGGGGTCCTCCCAGCCCCGACCGTTTCATCTGGAGTATCAATTCCAAATCTGTCACCAAGTCCACCTGCTGCTATTCAAGTACACCATGAGGGGCACTTTTTATCGCATCTGGACATGTTTTTCAATGTCATTATTGGCTTCCAGAGAGCGAACTGGCCGCCCATCCGGAGTTAAGTCACCCCGGAAGTCTGGATCATACTCTGAACTTGCCTCATCCAGCGTTGCTACGTAGCGGTTTCGACCTCCCTTTTTTCCATGGGTTGTGGCGTAATGCACATTGAGGTTGTCATTTCTTGAAAAGCTCCTGTTGCAATCGGGAACCCAGCAAACATGCGGTTTCTCATTGGTGTGGCTTTTCAGATGCCTTTTCAGGTGCTCATGTCGCTTAAATTTGCCGTTGCAGCCAGGCTCATCACATTTGAATGGTGCTGCTGGGATCGTTGATGGAATGCTTTCGAGGCCATGGCTGCGTTTTCGCTGGGGTCTTATTTGACCTGTTGATTCTGTGGACGATACGTGCGTTTGCTGTCCGGGACTTGGGGAATGTTCTGGGGACTCGTAGTATCCGGTACTGTTGTATACCCATGAGCATTCCTTGGATCCACTTACTTGGGCTAGTGGTTTTGGAATGTCAATTCCAGTGTACATCGTCTCAGATATTGCCGTGTTCCCAGTTCCCCCCACGCCCGAACAATATCCAGCTGAGGCTAGTCCTAATGCAGGTGCAACTCCTGGTACTTCATCCTCTAGCGGTGTTCGCCATTGGCCACCCCGTCCTTCTAGATCGCATGATGGATTGTTAGGAGGTATGACAGCACCTTCGTATGCAAGGTCATAGCATACGCGTACAGATTGCGGATTTTGAGGTGCCGGATGTGGCAAATTCTCACCGTGAAGAATTCGGTTATGACCTCGCAAAATCCCAGCTACCCCAGCATCACGCTGCTGAATTGTGCCATTGTGCGCTATACTAGGCGAACAATTCCAGAAACGGTGCATAGCAGCGGAGCTTGGAAATCGATTCACGAGCGTTTCATCAGTTGTTATGGATCCGCAAGCTGGGTGATCAACACTTAACGATCCTCTCTGATCCGCTGGCCAGTGTTGCGTTCCCGGGCTAGTAGACGCGGAAAAGCGCTCTCCATACGAGTGTTCATTTGTCAGTTCCACATACGCCCGCTGGTCCGAGCTTGTGGAATGTTTGGAGGGAGGGTTTCGAGTAACGAATCCTGGTATTCCAGACCGGTACGCGCTTGTGCTAGTTGGGAGGTGTTTACCACTCATACTGGGACCTGTTATCAGGAAAATGACGTCAGATATCTGCTCTTTCATGGAGACGGGTTTAAATGTGACTTACGTATTTGCAATGATCTTGAATGTCCTCGCCATACATTAGACAAATTCGGCTTCTGGAAATATTCAAACTCAATAGCCGAAAAGCCACAATGTCAGGAGAAATCAATGATAGCCAAACACTAAATTATATGTTAGCCTCGGAGTTATGGTCCCAGAACTACATATTTACATATTGTAAGTCTCTGAGTCTTCGCCCACCAGGACAAATACTTACATTTAGCTATTTGTTTCTTTTTGTCTGAAAGACACTGGAATTAACTTCGTATGATATCCGCCCATAGGACTCGGTGCTGGTGTGTGACCCCGGAGTGGAGTGAGTTAGAAATAGTATTCACAGAACATAGCTGCAAAGAGCTCCAATTATGTATGCTAAATCCATGATGAATGACGCACTGAACGCACGCTCTGGCCAAGTCGCCTCATTGCTGCAAATGTGAGAAGTCCCAAAGCTTAATAGTGCTCGACAGCCTCGACTTTCTCATAATCTTCATGAGGAATTAGAGACCGCCTCCCGCTCCGTTTTGCGGCTACCAGCATTCAATCTTCCTATGAATCTACATAAGATTTCTACACTACAGGCTCACTCGGCATGAGAGGCTCTACTCACCTTTTTTTTTTTTTTTATTTTGTTTATTTATTTTTGGAAGACGTCGAATATTAACTGTAGCCGACGTGTCAAGTTTGGAACCTTTTCTCGTTCCGTATCAACAGAGAATCATTTCAAATATTTACCAACAGGATTTGATTACGATACGATGCTACATATCCCATCAAAACCTCACAATCAAGCAGGCTAGACTCGTTCAGATCGGGTGCAGACGGGTGGCTTCTCGGAACTTCTGCTCGACAATGCTTGCAGCTCGATCCCATAACCTTGGGCGGAGGGATATTAGTTTCGAGATCTTCCCGTCACCAGCTTGAATGCCTGCTTCGCCAATCATCTGCACTCGAAAACCAGGTATCTACCACACGGGGCGTTCCCACAGAAGGCTCTCCGGATTCCCAGGGTATCCTTGGGACTGTGGCGTAGTCGAGCCCCTATTCGATGCGTTTTCAATGCGTTAAGGGCGCCTCGCAAATATGTTATTATTCTTTTGTCAACCCCGCATAAATATTATTACCTTGTCAGTGGTAGTCGAAAATTTGACGGACATAACTGGCTCACAACAAATCCCCATGGTTGGTTTAAAAGAACATCTTTCTAAAACCTACATATGATATCCGCTATTGTCTAAGATCCCTGTTTGCATCGATATGTTATTGAGCTGCGGCCAGTTTCAATACCTTAGTGCAGCCCAAAATACTAAACATGACGATGAAGCATGAATGCATTTATTTCGTTCGTCAGTCAGTGATATCATTAAATGTTGGTTTGCTGCGGCTCTGGTTCCGAGATTTTACACTCAATGAAATCCAATCTTTAATAGGTCAACTGCATAGTGCACATAGCATGTCCACTTCATATATTCCGAGTCAGCCAGTCCTGTGGCTATCACCAATTACCCGCTACGATGCACATCAGTTCCTTGCAATCCCAAACATGTCCCAAGCATGAACCACGATATGTTGGTAGACCATTGACTTTCTAATCAAATGTTCGATCCCCAAAAATTCGACTAAACAGGTCTGAAATTGAGAAGGGTATAAGTTGGCAATATGTATGCTAGGTTATAGGGATGATATATCGTGCAGTATTCATCATGCCTTCTTATGAAATGTGTGAAGTTTTTCTTCCTTGACTAATCACGCGGCTCTTATTGCTCAAGCCATCTTCTCTACCTGCAGAACGATACGATTTCGAGTAACTCATTTCCGAGGGGACGACGACAGCCTCACTTAGACCATAACGTGATCAACCACCCAACGCCCGTTTACACCCAACGCCCGCTCAAATCTTCATTTTTCATTCATCTTTAACCACCTACAACATGCACCATAAAGCAGTTATACAAGCTGTGATTGATGATTTGAACATATAATTAACATCTAATTACACTGAGACCACTAAAAAATATAGAATCAGCTGATATATATTGTCAAGGCATTATAGAGGCATTCAAATGTCAAGAAAGGAAGCAAGCTCTATCCATTGCAAAGCCCTCACTAATTCACAAGAAAAATGACTTCTTTTTTATATCAATCAATTGACAGATCACAGTTTCTCTTATACATCTCAAATCCTTCATAATCTTGTTATTGAGATTCTAAAAGCATTTATTGAAGTCAACTGAGTGACTTGATTCTGTGAGCATCATAAGAATGTGATCAAGTCACTTTATCTGTGAATATTGATCAAAAACACAAGATTGTAGATAATTCTGCATACTTCAAGCATTATTTTGATCTTGTAATAGATTTCTTTCTTATACTACTTTTTAATTCTCATTTTACTAATTTATCTTAATTTTTCAGCTGTAGATAAAAATCATGAAATACAATCTTGAATCTGTGAATATCTACAACTTTGATGAGAAAGAATTTCTATTAGAATTTATTCATACTCTCAAATATATTGTATCAATTAATTCACTCAAATCAGATTATATGATAGGTGTCAGTCAGAATGACAGTTGAGAATTCATAACACCACTTGCTTCAATTTGTGCAGATAAAACTTCACTTTCATCTGCTCTTATATATCAAGAAGAATCAAAAGATATGCAAGATACTTGACTCAAAGATTTTGATAGTGAAAAGAATTAAATCTACTTCACTGCTTCAGAAAATAAATAAAGCAATGATGAATATAAGTTAATGTGATTAAACAAGATCTTTGAATCTCTTACAAAAAAAAAGACAGATTATAGATATAGACTTCTTATATTAAATGATCACTCATCTCATGTTAATATAACATTTATCAATTACACAAATTAGAATTAAATTCTACTTACTGTTTTTCTTTTCTCATTCTACACATCAATTACAGCTGCTAGATGTTAGAATATTTGAATCATTGAGTAAATCATATTCTAAACAACTGAATGAACAGATAAGAACTGAAATAGAATTCATATATACTACAAAAAGGTCTTTTTAGCAGCTTTTTGACATTGTGTAAAAGGAGGCAATTACATCTTCAAATATTGAAACTGCATTTGCTGCTACTGACCTACATTCATTCAATTCAGAACATATTCTTAAAAAGCTTCAAATACAACCTTACATCTCTTCAGATACAATATATCAATCAAGAACATCAACTTCTATTATTGATCTGTGGAAATTGATGAAGTAAGTCAAGCAACAACAGCATCAAATATCTAATGATCTCAATCAAATAATCTGTGCAGGGGAAAATCTTACTCTTGATAAAGAGATTCTTCTAATAGAGAACAGACAACTACAGCAAGCTCTTAATTAAAAAAGAAGATATCACAAGTGTGATAGCAATGAGATTGCTAAATTCTTCAAATTCATCAATGACACAGTTCTTTTTACTGACAAAGATGCAGAGCATCTGCAAGCAGATAACTGTTGTGAAAATCATCAAAAAGAATGAACAGACTCATAAGAAGAATATCAAGTTGCAATATACTATTCTTAAGAAATAGAAGAAGACAAATATCATGTCACAGCAGATAAAGTGAGAGACAGCTTGTCAGGTAGCAAAGAAGTAAAAGAAGATGAATAAGACTGTGAGAGTCACTCAACAGCAGATTGAGAAGAAGCTTAGAGATGCAAGAAAGACTCAAGAGCAAAAACAGAAGAAAGAATGAGCTGCTGTACAGTTACAATCATAATTGAATAAGAAGATGATTGAAGAATTCAAAAATCACCTTTCTAATCAGGAAAGTAGACCCTTGATTTTGCAAAGAGTGACTAAATTGTGTTTTCAGAACCCTGTCAGAGTGCCCACAGATTCACTGCCAGAGGGATATGACAATATTGCAATCTCTACTGATTTAATGACTGCTTGCTCACTGAATCTGCCTCCATTCAAGATTTCACATTCTGGGCAAGTTATTAAGCCAAACAAACATTTACTGAATTAGCTATATATTTTTATATGTAATTTTCTATATATATTTTCATCCTATAATATATCATCTTAAAATCTAATTGCGTTGTTGAAATAACATTGAAAATATTTCATCATAGTGATGGCGAAATGGCGGGCGTTGGGTGGTGGATTACGTTATCTTGGCGACCTCACACAAAATGAAAATTATTCGAGTGCAATAAGTTGCTTCTAGTATCCGCACGAATAAGCATCCTGAAGGACTTGGCATGCTGCTCATCTTGGCCTCGAATTTGGGTCCATGGGGTGGGTGATCCACTTGTGAGCCTTTTGAGAGCCTTATGTTTTTCTCAGCCACCTGGGCGGAGTGGACAGGCCCCAATAAAATCCAGACATGCACATCGCGTTTGCAGATTGGGATCATAAGTACTCCGTTCTTGACTTAGAATATAAATTTAGAGGTCCATAAGAGGCTAATGAACCTGAGGAGCTGATCGTATGCTGCTTTTGATTTGACGATACCCTTTTATATTGTGGGGTGTTGTGCTGTAAGTTATGAATTTCTCTTCTTTTTTTTCAATTTTTTATCCAATAGCTTGTTGTCATTAACTTGCGTTGCAGTCTCACCGATGCAAAAGATTGAGATCACGAATCAACTCCAATATCCCTGCTCAAAATATGTGGTCATTTAATTTCCATTGCTTCTAATCCGTTTGCGCAGTTGGATCATAGTTCAATAAAAAAACACCAGGCTGAACGACCCCCCAGACGCCAAATCCATCCCATATACAACCTTTTGTGTCCCTTTTCTTATTTCAAGGAACACCACGGGCATTCAAATCCTGAGCTTCTAAAATTACTACCTACAAGGGTTTTCATTATTAATCTCCTCCCTGTCCAATGAATGTTAACGTTGCGAACCCAGGAGTTAATGGACCCTTTAGATATGTGTTCGTTCTCCACTAAACCATTGAGAAGACGTCTCGCTTCCATGAAAGGCTACAGGACAAACTCGGAAGAACAGTTCATTGGTAGCCATGTGCCTCTCCGGTCATAGCAAGTATATGTTTACGCTTCCCAATATTCCTTGGGCACCTTTACTTTCTTCAACCCTTATCTTCCCTGGGCGCCAGCCAATCCCGAATTTATAGTACCATTACACCTTTTCACTTCACTGCATTCGAAGCTGCAGAGAACGGAGAAAAGAGCCGTAGTTTGTGGAAATGGCCTTGGTTGACGTTGAAGTTTACAGCAGAGAATTACTACGGTTAAACCCACTACCACGCCACTCAGATCTTCAGTTGTCGACGAGTGCCCGGATGTCTTCAGCCTGCTCGTATAACTATAGGAACATAGAAATCCCTTTGAGAAGAGGGGCTCTCGAGAACGAGGCAAACATTTATCTAGAAGAATGTACAAAAGGATATGAGACAAACTCTGGATTCTCAATAAATGTGGAGAATGACAGTTTTGTGGACTTGTGAACCATAGATTGAGATGATTTTCAAGATGCGAAATGCAGAAAATCAGCTTTTACATGCAAACAATACGGCATTCATTGTGGTTTAAAAGTATCTTCAAAGCCTCGAATAACTAGCTCTATTTTCCATCGAAGGGCAAAGGATGGAGGCATCCCATTCCACCGTCATTAACAACTTAACAAGCGCACAATTCTGAGTTGCTGCATGCTATCTAGGTAATTGGGACCAATGATGGCAAGTACCATGGCTTTTAACCCACAGACCAAAAATCTGGCTTCCGCAAAAGCGGGTGCAGGTTTGGCTCCCGCATCCACGAACGGACTCTGTGCCGAACGCAAACGCATGCAGGACGCGTGCCCCCGCATCAGACCCTAAAACATGACCAATCGAAGCAATCCCATCAGACAAAGCGACGCAGCCGGAGGGAAAAAGAGATCTTCACGCGAGAATCGGACGAACGTCGATTTCTGAATCGGTTCGCAAGAAAGCCAATAACTCCAATAACTCCGCTGTTACTGACAGACACCCCAGGACTCCTGGAGTAGTTACTTCAGACAGCCTTCAGAAATTCTCCTCAAAACCTCCAATTGAGACATGAATCCATTTCAGTATGTTTGCTTCGGCACCGTTATGTTCGGTTAGAGCAAATCACCTGGGTTGTGATAATACATAGCCTCACCCATTCAATAATTTTCTTGCTACCCTTCCCAAACCTATTTTATTTTGTCATATTCGAAGGGAGCTTGTTCTATCAGTTGCGCAACTCATACATATACCCGTAAGTTTTAGGTTTTCTGTCCTCCATCCACCAAAACATCTCCTTTTCATTCGTCAGCTGTCGCAGCGTCTAATTTCATCACAATTTCGTTCAATTCAACGCATGAACAATCAAGTACCATGAAGTTTAAATCATCTACTAGACCGGAACCTGAAAACTACTTTTCAAGGCCTTATTGGGTTCGGCAGCAATCTGCGATTCTGCCCTCCTAGGCACGCCCATAAAAGAGGGCCATCTGAGATGCAGAACATCTGCCTTTGTTACACGATTTCATTGAATTTTCCTACAAGTCATCCGTGTGCAGTCCGGTTGGGGATGAGGTATGAGCGTTTTGTTGTAGGACTGTGGGGGCTAATTGGAAATGGGCTCTAAATCCTGACTAGGACTGCAAGCGGCAAGGTGATCATTTTATCAAAGCCAGAGCGTATTCAGGCATGATGATACTTGCAAAACAGTTCGCCAGCATCCATCTACCCACCCCTCAGAAGTGCCCCTTGCATCATCCGACGACGCCAATAATAAATTCCCTTTGCATCAAAAATTATTCCTCGGAGTTAACTAGGTTTGGATATTTCAACCGAAACTTGAAATGTCCTACCTCTACGAAAAAGAATCCTGGGCGAGTCCCTTTGGAAGCACGATAATATTGGAAACTACCCGCAAAGGCATTCCAAAAGGTTGATTCAGAAAATAATATCATTGGCTATCATTTAGCTAGAAGCTAGGTATCGGGGAAACTCTTCCATGTAAAACATAAAAGTCGTGTAGAAATCATATAAAACGGGAAATAAATCGGAGCACACAATAAGATCAGGTCACTGTTTAAGATACAGAAGGGCAACAACCTATCTAAACCAACCCTCTGAAGATCGAGATTGGATACACCATTCAAACATTAATGACCATGGACTAGGGAGATGAAGAGTATAAAAGAAATGGAACGCTAAAACAGCCAGAGGTATTAGCTATGAGCTCAGCCAACAAAAGAGAAAAACTGACCAAAAAAAAAAGGGGGGGGGAAGGGGGGTGAGAGGGGGGGTGGTTGAAAAGGTAGAATAATTCACAAAAAGAAGAACATAGGTCATGAGTCAATCAAATCACTTCACCCAAACCGCCTTAACCTGCCCTGCCGATAATCAATTCTGTATTATTAGCCCAACCTTAAAAAACTCCGGCATCAGCCAGCCCACTGGTATCTGGGAAGTTTCTGAACAGGCGCAAACCAAAAAAGAAAAAAGAAAGAAAAGAAAGATAAAAGAAAAAAGAAAAAGATGATGAAAAAGAAAAGAAAATGAAAAAGAAAGTGAAAAAGTGAAAAAAATGAAAAAGAAGAAAAGGAAGAAAGGAGGGGAAAAGGAGGCAAGTGGAAAAGGTGGAAAGAAAGAAAGAAAATGGTAACGCCAGGTAAATTGAGACGCCTTGCTGTTCAATGAGGCACACAACAAAAACCACCCAATCATATGTGTACATATCTCACTTGCACAGCTGACAAAGTACAAGTATGAAATAACAGAGGGGAAGAGTGATATGGTGTAAAGTGCCAGTAGCACAGTTAGGAATTTCAGGAAATTGTGGGTGTTAGAAAGTGAAGGTGAAGAGGGTTGATGGGGAGATAAGTGGCACAGGTGAGATAGATGAGATGGAGAGAGATGGCCCGGTAAGTGCTTATCTGAATGGGGTTTGTGCAAATTGTGTAGATGGCTAGTCTGAGGTAACAGCAAAAACAGAGGGCGAGCAAAAATACACAAGCAAGAAGGCAATGTCAATTCATTTAGCCATATTATTATTACCCATCATCTGCTGCTGATGGTGCTGCTGTTGGAGAGCCTGCGCCTGCGCTTGAACTTGGGCTTGGACCTGAGCCTGAGCTTGCGCTTGTGCTTGCGCCTGGTTCTGAGCCATTTGCGCCCGCTGTTGTTGACCCTCCCTCTTCATAATCTCAAACAAGTACTGTTTGGCAGTTTTCTCCACTTGTTCCTGAAACTGTTGGCGAATGTTTTCAGGCCAGCCAGTCATGTGGCCATACTGCTGCGTAAATTTCGCGCGTACTTCGATTTGGACCTGTGGGAGCACACGTTGCGCATATAGAGCTCGGTAACGGGGCTGAAGTCCTACTTGAGTTTGTGGGACGCCATTCGCTTGGGCTACAACTTGTTGCTGAGGTAGTTGTTGAGGGTTTCCTTGTTGTTGACCGTGGATAGCTTGCTGATGAGACATATGCATCTGTGCCAGCTGACTTCGAATAACATGTGCCTGATAAGCGGCCTGGCTAGGGAACTGATGTGGTTGCGGTTGATGGGGAGGCGGTTGCTGCTGCTGTTGTTGCTGTTGCTGCTGCTGCTGCTGCTGCTGCTGAGCCTGCTGCTGCTGCAAAAAGATACTATGTTGTTGTTGATGCTGTTGTTGTTGCTGTTGCTGAGCATGTTGAATATTTTGTTGTGCATGCATGCTTGCCTGAAGCTGCGCCAATTGTTGTGGATTAAGCTGCTGTCCACCAGCCTGTAAGCTTCGTTGCAGCATAATTTTCTGCCTCTGCATTATGGCCTGTTGTTGCTGTTGAGGAGTCATCATCACCCCATTCATCTGAGGATTAGCCATGATTGCATGGCTCATGACCGGAGTATGAGCCATGGTAGAAATGCTCGGGCTTGCGTGCGTCATTCGCTGCGTAGGGGTGGCGTTGCGCATCGTTGGAGTGGCATGAGACATACCTGGTGTCCCATGTGGCATTTGTGGGGTCCCGTGTCTACTGGGACCTTGTTGACTTCGGCTAGCAGTCATCGGATGCCCCATGACGGCTGGATGGCTATGTTGTACACCAGATGTAACTTGGAGAGGGCTTCCTGCTCCTTGAGCAGTACTCGTCATAGCGATTGGCATTCCTTGGTTCATCTGCACGCCCATCAAATTTCCTGCCAATGGAGATGAGCTATGTGGGGTTGAATGTCGCACGACTGGAGATGATTGTTGACCCTGCGACGCTGGAATCATCTGCTGAGGCTGTGGTTTATGCGGCGTGCTCATAGAAGGATTTCCTCGGGATTGAGGTCGCCGATTCTGCGCAGCTGCAGCTGCAACTTGGGCCTGTACCTGAGCATGCTGTGCTGCTGCTGCTGCTGCTGCTGCTGCTGCTGTTGCTGCTGCCGCCGCCGCCGCCTGTTGTCTTCTGTTGTCTTCTCTGCTTTGTTCCTCAGCCAATCGTTGCTCGTTAGCACGTCGCTTCTCTCTCTCAGCCTCTTGTTGTAATCTTTTCGCATGGTCTTGCTGTAGCTTCTTCTCGTGTTCAAGTTTAGCTTTCTCTTCATGTTCCAGGCGAATTTTCTCGAGAGTTTTGAATCTCGAAAATCTGGGTTCAAACGGAGCTGCGCCACTTTCATCATCGACATTAGGTGCTTTGGCACCACCGCCATTGCCAGAAGTAGTTGGGCCCAACCTCTCATCCATGATAAGCATAAATCTCTCCTCTTCAGCAGCTAATGCTTCATCGGCGGCCAATTCTGCTACAGTCCGTCTTCGGGTCTTTGGTGAGGGGGGTTTGCTGCGATGCAGAGGGTCCTCCAAAAACCTGAGAAGATTCGCACTCGCTGCCAACCCATCAACTGGCTCGAGATAGAGTGGCGGGGCTGTCGCGTGTATCAGCTTTGCTTCAGCTTCCAAGAGCTCCGACGGTTCTACCATCATCTTTTGTCTCTTCACTGGAGGCGCACGGTCCGTCACTGGAGAAGATGGCAATGCGGAGAGAGGTGTGGGTGGCTGGGGAATAGATCCGGTTCGCAATGTGGAATAAACTTGGGACTGGCGGCGATTTACAGCTCGGGGGTCAGGGGTCATAGATAACAGAGTCAACTCCGCCAACAGCGATTGAGGTGTGGGATGTAACACAGTCGTAAAAATCCTAGGTTTGGGAGCTTTCTGCTTTGAAGTACCAGAATCCGTCGTATTTGCGTTGGATTCTGAAGGACCATTATTGGCTTCTGTGGACGACTGCTCGTCGGCTCTTTGGCTATTTGTGGAAGTGCCATTGGTGGTAGCATTTACACTTGACTGGTTCTGTTGTGGATATGGTACGAATGGAGAAGGGGTAACATGCTGGTTGTAATTGTGTAAAGAGAAAGGTGAGGTCTTTTCGCCGGAGGAGGAATTGGATGCAGGGTGGGGTTGGGAGGAGACAGATTTATGATCCACGACACGGACAATAAGGCAGTCTATTCACAGCATCAGCTTTAGCGCATTAGGATTGGCCACAGATAATACAAGTCTCACTCTCGTAGAATCTAACTCCGCCTTTCACCAGTTCCTCGATCATATCATGCGGAACAGTACCAGCTTTGATATGCTCGATGATGACCTTCATTTCAGAATTATATGGGAAGCTTCCATCTTGTTGATCGAACCGGAAATGAGTGGGGTGAAGATGTATAGTTAGGGACGGTGGAGATTTCGAGTACTTTTTGAGGATGTAGGAGGTTGTTTTGACTATATAAAAGGAACCAATTAGCCCGGAATCCTTACCGAAATGTCAATTGAAGACAAGATAATACTAACCATATGGTTCGGGAAACTTCTTGAGCTGTCTGCAGTCCGCAACAGGCCCATCCATGCCCGGGGGTTTTGTCGGGGGGCGCTGTAAACGAGTTGCAGGATCGCCGGGTTTTTGGGGCTCTTTCCTCGGGCGCGTTTGCTGGCGATTATTGGCGCCATTTACGATAGCAGCACTGGTGGGAGTAACTGCCCCTGGCTGTTTGGCGCCTGAAAAGCGATTTGTAGCAGACCCCAGGGGCGACGGGGAAGGTTGCGAAGTCCTCATGCCATTGAGGCCGGTCTGAATGTAGGATGGGGCGGGTCGTTTGATTTTGTGTAAAGGGGGTTTAGTAGATACAGCAGTCGCCATGCCGGAAGACGCTTCCATGCGATGGAGACAGGACACCTGCTACTAGCGTTCGAATGGGACAGTTAAGACGCTGCCGACTGGACGGACAAGAATGTAGAACCCCCGGAATATTGCTCTGATAGCCGATGCGGGAGACATGAGGGAAGAACACGGATGGACTGGGTGGCGACCGGCTCGCCCACGACGGATTCTGGAGGACAACAAAACAAACACAACGGAGACTAGCTGGCGAGGGTCATCGGGAGGGACAACTGGATGCTAAATGGTCAGGTTACAAGGCGAGTCTGATGGTGAGGATACGGTGTTGTGTTGGCTGTTGGTTCAACTGTGGTTAAAAGTTGTTGTTTCGATGCCAAGATGAGGCTCTGGAATGTCACCCGGGGTTCACGTGAACATCTCTAAACGGATTGGACCTAGCGTGTTTCTTAACTAAGCCACTTTTAACTTATCAACCTCGGCATTTTACTGTTTGCTCAGGACAAAAGGATGTACGGCAGGAAGTAAAAACTTCAGTGGATATTGAAACATTATAAGAAAAGGTGGCTAGCATTTGGTGAAATTTGATGAACAATTAATGATGAGGAATGAACGTATAAACAACGTCCAACGTCTATATACAGAGTTGAATTATCCGAATGTGCAAGAGTATCATTCCGCTCCAAACCTAATAAACTTCTTGAACTAGGACCCATAGCTACGACTCGGGAACCCTAAATAAATAAAATACAAACATATAAAGAAGTGAAATGGTAGGTATGAATAAATCAACATATGTAACAGAAAGAAACTCGTTAATAAACAAAACAGAAAAAGTGAATATTGGTATAAACATGAAAAAGAAAGGAGGTGAAAGGCATCATGCACAGGAAATCAAACCGTATTCGTATAGGAGGTGAAGAAGAAAGAAAGAAAGCAAGAAGAAACTCAACAGCAATGGTTCAATGCGTTCAACCATCTATCAATCAATCATGGCCAGAGACCCGCCGTCTCCAATCTTCCCCTGTTCTCAATCCGTCCACCACATCAATCCGTTTGCCCAAGCCAGTAACCCCTTCTTTCTGCCACCATTTCTCGCCCTTGTCAGCAAGCGCCGACTCATCATCACTATCTACCAAGCTACCAAGCCCGCCATCGGTGCCAACAATAATAACAACCTGTCGAACCCATCCAATGATCTGGTTGACCGCCTCGCCGTCATTTCCAGTCAGGCTTTCTTGGATATAGACAACGTCTGGAGACAGGTGTCGGAGAATATGAACGTGGCCCATTGGTGTGCTGAATGGCATAATCATTGTCTCTTTGTCTACTAGTGCTTGGGCCTGGTTACTGAGGGCTTTGAAAAGTGGTGATGCGGACTCGAACTCATATCCAGCCGGGCAAGGTTCAACAGCTTCCAGGACAGAGGCATCCTGAGAATTTTCCGCTGAAGCCCCATCATGGCCAATGTTGGCATAGGAAGAAGAAAGAGATGGTGTGGGGCGGGGGGAGACTTTGAAGGAGGTTGAACGGGGTTCCAAACCGGGGGCGTATATCAAGACAAAGATTTGTGCAGTATCGGGATCCGCGTATTCGTGTAGATGGGACAGGATCGACTATTGGATTAACGCGTATTAGTTACGACCGATAAAAAAAGAAGTATTCAAAATCAATATATATATGTTATCAGCATATGGTAGGGATGAAGGAAACATACTGCATGTTGTGATATTTGTCCCCCGACACCTTCCTGCTCCCCAGGCGCACCAACCGAGGACACCACGATAGCCACTGTTTTTCTGCACTTTGTGGGAACTGCCTGTTTCGCCGAAAGTACAGCTGGAGGTAACGCGCCCGACATAGGCGGAGATCCTGCAGTAGCGAACACGCCTCTAGAATTAGCCTCTTCAGTCCATAGAGAATGGTCTTCGTAATCGCCCGAACGCGCTTCAAGAATCGCACCCAACGCGCCTCCAACTACAGCTCCAGCAGCAGCCACTCCCGCCGCAACTCTTCTACTAGCACCGTCGAATAGTTGCTGCGGACTCGGTGTTCCTCGCAAAGCGCCTTGAAGTCGCGATATTACGCTAGCGTCTTCAGGTTGAGCTCCGTCATACACTCCCGTAGCTCTTGAAGGTCCACCTTGGGGTTGGCCAAATTCAGGCCCATGTTCAGATCCAGTTGGACGCTTGTCGTCCCCATAGTAATCTTCGTCATCCTCGTCATCGTCCCGTCGCTCACTCCATACCCAAGCAGCAAGGCTGACAGTCGCAACGCCAACGGTAATAGCAAGGGGAAGCCAGTATCCGAGAGCTGTCTTTCTGCCGGTAGAACTGAACCCAGTCGGGCCACCTTTTCGGCGACAACCGTCGGAAAAGCGGTTGTTTGACATGGAGGAATGGACCTCGGTGATTTGACTAGCAATTAATGGCAGGCAAGGTCGTTAAACAGTGAACAGTGTAATCAGTAAACGGGGTTAATACATGGAGCAAGGAAATCACATTATAGTCATCCAAATACAATAAATCAAGGAAGGGATGGAAGGGAAACAGAGGAGGTCGGAGGTTATTAGAAGTGTGTTTGTTTCACAGTGTTATTGAGAAACTGTTAGTTAACGCTTTTGCGGTGTTGGCACTCTTTGCCTGGTCAGATGACGGCGGATCACGTGGCAGCTTGACCTACTGCAAAAAATAAAAAATTGGCATATTAGTTAAGACTTAAGAGCCTAGAAATGCAAGACAGATTTTTGATATTGCATCCTCTGCTGTGATCCAGGACTGTAGATATCTGAAGTAGATAGCTAAAACAGTCTCCTGAGGTTTATCATTTAACCAGATACTGATATATCGTCGAACAGTCCTCTACCGTATTCAGTATCGTCCTATATGAATATACAGTCCAGCCAGGACTAGTGAACTGAAAGGTGCAAAGAACACCACCAGGACTGTCTCCCCTAAAAGTACGCTATTGAACGAAAACTCTGCCTAAAATATCACTGGAAGCTCAGTCCACAGATAAGTAGACGGCGATCATCAGGAGTTACTGGGGTCTAGGGAAGGGGCTTATCAACAACCCCCTTATTTTGCGCTGCTCCACGATCCACTACCAGCTCCCCTCTAGTAAGGAAGCATGCCTCATTCCAACGTTGTTCCCCATACAGGGTTCCAGGCTCTCATACTCTGTGGCCCCGGAGTTTCTCTAAATACCTTTACATCTAATCCGGAGGAATTCCCTAAAGCATTGGTTCCGATTGCGAACCGCCCCATGGTCTGGTACCCCTTAGACTGGTGCTATCGCATGGGTATTACAAGTAAGTTTTGTCTTGGATATCCTCATGATCCATTATTTACCAATTGGCAAATCTTTTCTTTATGTTCTCTGCGTTTCCAGCAGGCTTCACTTATGATTCCTCTTTGCATTGGGAAAAAGAGCATGCTCACCATGTTGGAAGTTGCAATCCCTTTGACACACCGTGCTGTACGAAGCACAATCCTAGAAAAATCTTCTCCCCTTGTTCATTGCCAGTTACTTGTATTATATAATCCAACTGCCCGTGTTCCTATTCCTATCATCTTCAATCTGCTAACAGAAGGCCTTAGATATTACTCTCATAACTCCCAAGTCGAGCCAGCCCGTTCTTGAGGCGGCTCTGTCACAAAACCCACATCTCACATCTCTACCCTCTCCGTCTGCATCAGTGCTTGCTCCTCAAGGGCTAACCTTTACCACCGGAACTTCAGAGCTTCTCCGACTTCCTGAGGTCCAAGCATGCATTAAGTCAGACTTTATGCTTCTCCCGTGTGACCTGATATGCGACCAGGTTGGTGAATCACTTCTGGAAGCATGGATGTCAACTCAGGGTTCCCTGGATGGTTCTTCAGTTGGCGAAGCATTCTCGAGTCGTGTTTCAAGTCTGGTTGGAGTTAGTGGAGAACGAAGTGGAAGAAGAGGGGGTATCGGAGTATGGTACCCTATGCCTACATCAAAGGAGGAAAAAGTTAACGGAGATGTGGCCGACTTCCTGGCTGTTTCGCCCCTGGAGGGAGATGAAACTCCCGTCGTTTACGGCGGTCCTGGCGGGAGCAGATCAGTCTGCTCCTCATTATCTAAGCTTGTGTATGCGGTGCCAATGGATACACTGAAAAACACCATAGCAGAGAAAAAAGCGTTGTTGATTAGGCATTCACTTCTCAAACGCCACGGGAAGGTAAGACTGCTAACAACCTATCGTGACGCTCACATCTACCTATTCCCGTATTGGGTGAAAGATATGGCCAAAAGAAACGAGAAATTCGAAAGCGTCAGCGAAGACTTGATAGGTTGGTGGGCAAAGGCAGAATGGCAAGAGGGTCTGGGTGAAAAGTTAGGTCTTCGAGACGTCTTTTCAAACCAAGATAACAACAACCGCGGATTCGGAGTCGGAAACTCGCATGACGAAGAGCGCGTCGAAAGAGAAATTGATCTAACAGCCATGTCCACAACAAAATCGGGCACCTACTCCAATGTGAACCCAGACGGAAGCAGCGAAACCCTATGCCAGGCTCGACCACCCTTACCCTCGCGTTCCTTCATCTTTCTACACGATGATATTATCACCTCAACCACCTCCAAACCAAGTCTCCCAGAAAAGCTAATTGTCCCCCCCATCCTCGCCTATGTGCAGCCATTCCACCCTTCGTCCCCTTTGATCCGACGGGTCGATTCCTCCGCCCTCCTCCTTTCCATTTCCCTCCGCCTCGCAAAACTCGACCCAATCAGCGAAGTAGGCCGCGAATCCGCCTCCCCCTTTGCCCACACGAACAAAATAGCCCATCCTGCCGGCATCGCGCAGCGCTGCACAGTCACCAAAGCCGACTGCCTGATCGCCGAAAATGTGACCGTGGAAGAGAAGTGCGTGATCAAGGAGTGCGTTGTCGGCGCCAACTGCCACATTACCACGGGGGCGCGGTTGACGCGCTGTCTGCTTATGGATGGGGTGGTGGTTGGTGAGCGGTGTCAGTTGACTGGGTGCATTATTGGGCGGCGCAGCAAGATTGGGCGCGAGTCTGTGCTGAAGGAGTGCGAGGTGCAGGATGGCAATGTGGTGCCTGAGGAGACGGAAGCGAGTGGGGAGAAGTTTATGGTGTTTGAGGGTTTGGATGAAGATATGGATACTGTGGAGATGGAGATGGATGATAGTGATGAGGATGGGGTGGGGAGATTTTGAGCCGTAGCTCTAATGACTTATTGAAAGAATTTGCGGGACGGATGGATGGATGGTGGGAGGATAGCTATTTCCGGCTTTATAGCAAAATATGAAGTGCAACGAATTAACAATGGATAGATATAACACATGCATCGAAATGAAACTCAACCCAAAGGCGATCTATTTGTCTTGTTGCTCGTTTTTAATTTGAGCTACTTAGATATATCATCTTCCAGATGTCCTCGCGCAGGTCGTTTAAAAAAAAAGTAGAATTTGAACGTAACATTACAACTAGCATTCGTAACCATCACCCTCTTCCCTTTTGGAAGAAATCCCGCACACATTCCTCGTCGACACTGCCTTCAAACGCAGATATCATCCACCCTTTTGGGCAATCAATGTAATCTCCCTTTCCCCTTCCGTGGTATTTTAATAGATTCGTGGACTTCAGGTCATAAGAAAATCGAATACATCGATAGCAAACAAAAAAGCAAAACAAAGAAGTATCTAAACTTACACTATGACAGTCTGCCTCCCATTATTTCAAGGTTGAAACTCCCTTGAAATTGATCAGAAAGAGAGGCAGAAGAAACCAGACCACACATCAGAAAGCAATTGGTAGATGAACACGAGTCTGCGATATCGCGTCTGGAACTAGGGAGGGTTTCCTCGAGATTTCCGTGGTGATGGTGAAACAGGAACAAACACACAAAATCAAAAAAGTGTGCCCATTTCTCCAAAGAGAAGCCAAACAATTGAAACAGAAAAGCTAAAATAAAAAAGAAAACAAAGAAAAGCACAACTATGCTTTTCAATCCTTTCAGACAACCCGTAGGAAAGAAAATGAAAATCCAGGAAGTTCATTGACCATAGCACTGAACTTGGACGCTCGTATGTTCGGTATCATGGCAGACAGTTTATGGGCATCTTCAGATACTTCTTCTCCCTGGATTGGTGGATAAAAGTATGTGTCTTTCGCTTGCGAAGGGCTTTTGTTTCCATTTCCGCCTTCATCAGTGGCAGTTTTCTTGCCTACCCGCATTTATGACCTCGTAATTCGACCGGAATATTCTTTCTCGATTGAAAACGTAGATTCTTTCTGAAGATCCCTAGCCTTTCTAGCGGATCCATTTCGCAAGGAACGGTTCGTGAAAGCGACGGTTTTTTGTTCCGAGAGGCTTTTTTGAAGTGGGATTCGCAGGAGACGCCTCTGGGATCATGTCATTCTCCAAATTGATAATAACTACCTGGTGACATGGCCCCGGAGGCACCAATGGGTCTGGTAAAAGGTTGTGGGATTCTACAAGCTCATCAAAATCATACTTATCCAACTGCAGAGGGGACTCTTTGGGGAAATCTGGCTGAGGGATTGAAGATATAGACAATGGAAATTCGGACAAATCAAAAAAATCTATTATGACGTCGGTGTCCTAGGAGAAGTCCATGTCCAGAATCTCGAAAAGCACAGTCCATCGATGGCTTACCGCGAGGTGTGGGGCAAGGGGTGGTCTCTTCTTCGCGATTAGAGATATAGAGCGCAAAACCTGAGTACCAGTATAATCACTAGCACCCAGGGTGGAAGTCGCTCTCCGAACCGAAGTAGGCATATTATTGAAGGCTGTCATGAACTCATCTTGAGTATTAGCGCTCGGGTTCACAATATTCGGCAGCTCAGAATAGGCAGATTTCGGGAATTTCGAAGTGCAAGTCTGAAAGACAGTCGATGGAGACCCTGATATCGATGTTTCAGGTGTAGGATGATTTGGAAGAGTTTGTGGAGGCAGTGAAGATGAAATCCTGCTTTCTAGGGTGTCGGTGAACGGATTTAAATACTCTTCTATCACATGTCTTAAGAGGACGTAACTCCAGCGGCAAGCCATAATCAATGTTAATATCATCTTCCATCGTAGTTAAAATTTCCGGGTTAACTGTAGGCGTCTCACTGCAACTCTGCTGCTCGACAGAATTGGCATATGCAACAGCAGATTGTGCGTTGTATCCAACGGAGGGAAGATTCTGACTTCGGTATCCACAGAGACCGCTATTTCACTTCTATTCAAAGGCAATCCGGAACTCCTGCTACACTTTGAACGCGGACTCTCAATATGTTGTGATATACCTGTTGGAATAGCACAGTCAGCTTCACAATTATTCTTATATACTGGTCGCCACACGAGAATACTGCCACTCTGTGTAGGCACATTATGTTCCCTATGGAAACCAGCAAGATACCGTTGCCTATTTAATAAACAACCCAATTCCAAAGGCCCTCTCTGGAAGATCCAGACCAGAGCACAGATTGAGATCGTGGAAGGATACTGGACGGGAATTCTGAGAAACTGCAGCTACTTGCTCTATATCTCTCAAAGAGAAGAGTTACAGAAATCACAAATAAATGATCCATGACTGGAATATCAATATAATCAGCTGAGATAGTCCCAGAGTTTCCACGATACAACGAAGTGTTGTTGAAGATCAAAGCCAGCGACGGTTTCGTATTGTTTTGATAACTAGTGTTGTTGAGTTTGGATGTTTGAGTTTGATGTCAAGCGTTTGAGACATTCGGTCAGTTTTCTTGAGGTCTAGCCAGAGAGACCTTTGTCTTCAACTTCATATCATGTGGCTTGGGCTGGGCTTCTGCGTACATTCGCTGCTGACGTCAAACCTCCATGATTGCCAAGGGGAAAAGCCGCGTGGAGACGCCTGAAACGCGGGGAAATAAGGCGATGCTGAGTAAATGCAACAGGGGCTTTCTGTATCGTTTCCGCTTGATCTTAACTTTGACATGGTTTTTATCTCTTTTCGCTTCTTTGATTAATTATACCGGAATGAACATGTCGATGAAACACGTTGATATCCACATTCCTTCTACCGACAGACTAGGTAAACGTATTTTAGGTTTCTTTGCAAAGTAACCTCACACCTATCTTAAGTCTGTCTAAGGAACTCGCCGGTTTCATGCTCCAACATCTGGGGACACCTAGATTCTTCAGGACGAGGAGCACAGGATGCGAAAAAGGATACTCTTGAAGCAAAACTTACCCTTGGTTCAGATAAATAAAATGTCACAATACCATCTCCAAGTCCAAGAATCCAATACACTCTGGTCACAGCACACCCGGACTAGCCGATCTGTGCGAGGTTTGAAAAATGAACAGCAGAAGCGAAACAATCAAGTTCGCTTTTATGCAAGAGTATTGGTATTGCAATCTAGCCTGCAAGGCTGACCAACACATTTACGCAAACCGTCTAACCTGTGCTTGGATCGCCCTTGGTTTGTGCGACGACTACATAGAGTATTAATCTAGGAAACCATATTCAGCGTATCCTGTAGGAAGCAAACACCTTGTAGAAAATTTTCTTTCCATCGTTATCCGTTCACATTCACAATTACTTCGCACTTCTCTTCTCTTTGCTGCTCTTCTTTGCTTTTTGCAGTTTCCATGAAGCAGACTGGCTGCCACCTAAGGTAAATCCTGCAGGCACAGGGACATGATCCGTAGTGTTTAACGAGTGCATTGTCGAAAAGTAGACCAATTTCAAAGTTCCCATATGTAACCTCTGGTGAGATGGAACGGGGGTGAAAATCTGCACACCAAGGAATTCCCCAGTTTTACCTTCGACTCTATTTTAAGAAATGTTCGTCGTTACTCAATCTCTGAACTCCTGTCATACTTCAGTCACTTCCACTCAGTATTCTTTCCCTGTCTCGTTCCTTTCTACTTTTGAGAACCGAGCACGAAATCATCACCTAGCAAACCTTGTTGAATTCGAGGCTAGAATACGTTATACTTTCGTTTTTTTGGTTGAATGTTCAATCAAATCAAGTAGTCTTTGGTGGTCAGCGGAAAGGAACTTATTTTACATTTACTACTACATGCTCCCTAGCAGTCATCATACTCCGTTCCGATACATTATGGACTTTGAATTGGCTTCTCGAATCTCCTCGTTGTTGACTGTTTGTATCATATCCTTTGCTCCCAAAGCCAGGGAATTCAAAAATGCGCTCAAAACTTAGAACCAGCAGAGACCAGAACCCGAAGATATGGGACGTCATCACTGGGAATTGCCTAAAGATTCTTGAGGCTCACACCGACCGGAAACCATATCACTGCTCGGTCACGGGGATAATTCCGAGTCGAACTCAGAAAACAACGTCACCTTTGGCCATGAACTTCAATGAAAGCTACACATTTGCTCCACCTCCTTATACCAAATCTTCTACCCTTGGCCGGGCTGAACAATTTCGCCCGGCGCAAGTGGTACGGCGAAATTCATTGCACCCCAGTCCCGGAACAAGACTGTCAATCTCTAGGACGTTCGGGCAACTTGCATTGTTACATAAGAATGCAATGACAACTGGGTGCAGGAGCTCTTCTTTCACCACAGCGGTAAAATATCCTTTCAGAGTAGGCTGGTAAAACATTACGGTGCTGTGATCTAAGCCAAGGAGGGAGGTGCATGGATGCTTCCATTTCCCCTCCAAAGTGGAGGCGCGAGAGAGACACTCCAGGGAGCAAAAGGGTGTCTGTATTATTCCGACGTGGGGTGTGGATTCGATGTTAAATAATCTTCGCAAGATATGGTGGCAAGAGATGATACAGATTGATAAACTTTCTCTCAGGGGTCTTCCTGCATACATGGAGCAGAAGTTACTGCCGCTAGAATTCCACTTCTTCGACGGAAATGCGATACTACGCGAGGACAGGGACTGCACAATTTTGGGTGCATAGTTGTCCTTTCGGGTCTTTGAAAACTTTAGCACAGAATATACAGCTTTTCTACCTAACCTTTGCAGAACAGCAAAACCATATGATGTTCAATATCATCAAAGGGTGACTCAAATGAACCCCCTTTTTTCTGCGACTTCTTGCTCTGCATCTGGCAATTTCGTCCTTCAGGGGCAGGTGGGTATACTGAGGAGTAGCTGAAGAAGTGGTAACATCAAGTCACGAAACTATGACGAGCCACGTCATTAAACCGGGGCGATTTGACGTGACAAATATGTTTGGTTTTTGTCTCTACGAAAGAAATAAAAAACGCAAGGAATCTTGACAATGACAACAAAATCTTATTTGAAACTTTCTATTATATGATACTGTCATTATTATTGTTCCTGTTAGAAATCCCCAACCCTAACGCAACCTCACATGGTAATTAAATCCAAAAAATATCCATGGATAGAATACTATGATATCATCGTCCAGTCATAGAATGAATCATGGAACAACGACAGATACGCACCACCTTAAAAAAGAAATGCTATTCATAAAAAATTAAATTTACACCGAAAATGGGTTCAATCCGTTCAATATTTTCTTATTTTGGTGATAAACTTTCTTTTCATGTTCTCAGCTGGGAAAGAAGGAAGAGAGAGAGAGAGAAATCCACCCTTTCCTCTTCGTATTGAAATTCAACAGCATAAACACCATCGTTTCAGTGCAAAGATGGGGACGGATGGAACGGACGGATGGATGGACGGATCTTTCCAACGCACGGGACACCCTGTGGGCGACGACGTTGTCTCTCCCATGGAGAACGAGGTAATACTATGGCCAGATGGGGAATGGGGGAGGAGCGGTACTAACTCCGTAGATCCTTTCTCCTTTGTTGAACTGCAAGGGGGGGTTGTTTATTTTAGAAGTTGATCCGTCCCCTTCTTTTTTTGGTGCCGTTGAACTTAAAACTCTTGCATGCCACCCCCTGCTTCTTGACTCCTGTTTCAGGGAGATATGGGCTTGGTTAACTAGAGTGTATTAATAGAGGGTATTATTGTTATTATTGTTGTTGTTATTGTTATTTATATTTTTCTTGGCTATACTCAATCAGAGAGTATGATAGTGACTGGCACATTTGTATATGGCACTAAAAAAAGAACTTCGTAAACGAAGTATGCTCAATATATAGTTAACTAAGCACAATACTTCTAATATTAAGATCTTAGAGTCTAGATAAGAATTAAAAGTTGAGCCCTGGCCAAGCCCTGAATGATTACTCATCCCCTTCTGGACTGATTTTATACTAACTAGGAAAAGTCTCGAAAAGCTAGTTCCAGTAGTTGAATCATCTATACACGAAAAACCAATAGAAACAAGTTGAATGTGCTTAATCCTGTCAAGCATGAATGTCCTTTTTGATTCACCAGCCACTCTCTCCCGGAACGAATACCATGGTACCATACGTGAAGGTGGGATACGAAACCACGCCCCTAGTGCCTCACATTCAGGGCCTATTTGCAAGGCCTTCGGTAGATGTCGCTTATCGCTACCCCATTTACCTCTCCATTAATAGAAGGTGGTTTTGAGATTATATACTCCGAGATTGTAGTCACTCAGCTAATTTGCTTTCTACTTGTAAATGTTTTTAACTCCTCAATAATCAAATGGGAGGTTTATGGAGAGCGGTTGGCGGCGAGAGGAAAGAGGTGAAGGGGACAGGGATTGGTGGGGACGAGTGGACGAGTGCACGAGGGGTTGCCTTCGTCGATCGGAACCGGGAGAACAACACTTGGACATCGTATGGGAGCACATTCCTGGGAGACGGTGTCTTCAGAGATAATGCGGAGATAGGGAATACTGTGAATAAATAGAAACGGAGGCAGGTATGGTTATATATTCAAGTGATTATTCATTCTCACTCCAGGGAGAAGAGAATAGAGGAAAAGATTTATCATCAATCATGCCTAATGGTACCTAATCCTGCAGGCTGCAGGCAGTTGTGTATTTTCCATCTGTAGCATCTCCAAGCGGATCTCGTCCCTGGTTATTCACCAGATGGCTTTAGGGCAGCTGAGGATCTATATATATATATGTGTGGATATATATACAGTCAAATCAGGAAGATGATGTTGTCATCCATCAACACCCTACCGGGCAATGATCATTAATAATAATACGCCAGGCTGTTCCAATCTCGTGGGTGTGTTGTGGTGATGGATTTCCCCTGGTGGGTGGGTGGTAGCCCTGTAATAGTAAGTGTGGTCAGTCGGGGACGTTCACAAGAACAGCAAGCTGGGTTCGTTTTATCTCCTAAGGCACAAGGACAACGGACACTTAAGCAAGCTTGCATTTGTGGTGCGTGGGTTGCAGCAACAATGCAACCAACCCCCTTAACTGTTATTTCCCTTCCCGTTTCTGAGAAGGGAAAAGAGAGATCTGTAATGGTTGAGGACGGGGTGATGTGTACATAGATATAGATGGATTGTAGTGTGTAGATAAATAGCTAAGAGAATAAGAGGTAATTAATAGGTGGATGGAAATGCATCTTCGCAAAACCTTCACAATATGGCTTCAGAATGGTGGCCACAATTGCGGGGTTGAGCTTAGAAGTTAAAGTTAGTTATAAGTTACCCAGGGGATCCATGGATGTGGTTAGCTAATTTTGTTTCGGCATGTCTTGAACCAGAGGAACTGGAGTGCGATGCCCTGTGGGGAAGAATAATGGTTGAAATGTTGAACCTCACGAGGCTCTCAAAAATCCCTTCCAAACCCTGCCCTGTTCTGAGGGTTCAAGTAACCTTTTCACCACAATTATTAGTTACAGTATATTAACTAGTTAATTAGTTAGTTAACTAGTACCGAGGATGATGTAATTAAGAATACCATAACCAGTTAATGTTAACATTAACTAGTTAACTATGATACTAATAATAAAAAGACAGCAATATACTCCAGCTATCACATTCTCCTATTCTCTAATTAAGGTATCTCCACTATTCATGTGCTCTTTTCCAAGTTCCAAGTGTTCGGTTCTTCTTGAATCTTCAAGGGGCCCTTCGGACTGAAATGACAGACGCACTTGGACTGCTGGAGCAGCGTCACCCTTAATTAATTATGAGCCATGTACTGTACTGTATGTATCACCGGTGTATCAACCTCATAGTTAGTTAAACTAGGTAACTAAGACATGGGCCGGTGACCGTACCTGTGGCTTAAGTAAGCCATTTTGTGCGTGTGCAAGGTGCTGTGCAGGTGCAGGTTCGCGTTAAGTCTAATCTGGATACCAGTCTAAAGGTCCACGTAATATGCCATTCAGCGGTGGGATGTTTCATAAAAGAACATCGGAATATATATAACTTCACTGCAAATCTGGTATCTTGGTACCTTTGGTCGCCCGTCCGATGCTATCCCTTACCTTACCTTACCTTACCTTACCATACCCGTACTTATTTTTCCTTTCCTGGGCAGTTCCCTCCTTAGCCTCTCCGGTTTTGTGTTTTTCTCTCTTTTGTCCTTCACCCTCACTGCTTTCAACTTCAAGACTTCCATCCTTCAACCTCAACCTTCAACCTCAACCTCAATCTTAACTTCTTCCACTCTTCCACTCACTCTTCCACTCCTCCACTCTTTTCCTTCTTCCTCTTCTCCTCTTCAGCCTCACGACGTTGGCTCTTTGGTGTTCTGTCACCATATCCCCATCCTCCCTTTTAACATAACCTTGGAGGAATCGGACCACTGAAACACTCTTCTTCCCTTTCATTCCTTCTCCTTGTTTGTCGTTGATATCTTGCCTAGTTTTTTGATTCCACCATCCAACCACCTCAAATGGCTTGACCTATCCTGTTCTGTCCTATCCTCTTCTGTTCTCTTCTTCTTCCTTCTCCTTCTTCCTTCTTCTTCTTCTCCTTCTTTTTTCTTTTTCTTCTTCCTTTTCTTCTTCGCTTACCGAACGTCTTTGGTTCTATTCTCTCATTGCCTCTTTTTAATTAGCTCCTCCGCATCCTTATCTTCGTTCGAACTCCACCTCTTCAGTACCGCTTCCCTCCGTCGCTCTCTCTCCCATCCGTTTTCACTCATTTAAACGCTTCGACCTCAGCCTTATTCTAAATTGTCCGTCATTCTCCCGAATCATTCTGACCGTTTAATATACATTGCAATTCTGGTCTTGGTGCGTACCTCCTCAGGACCCGTCTACGGAAAAAACTTCCCCTTTTTTACCAGTCCACGACCTTAAGTGGCTTTAGGAAACGACCACAACCACAACATCAACTTTAACACTACTCCTGTACCAGATCGCACAACCCTCATCCTCATCCTTCCCCAGTCTATATTCGCTAATAGCTCACCCGAACATTCCCGTCAAAATTCTCATTTACTCTTCCCTGGTCATGTGATTGCTGACCTTTTCAATTGCTCCGTTGTAGATTTGTCCAACTTGGCCTCTCTCTTTCCTTGTGGTTTCTATTAAAGAAATCGTGTCTTGTCGCGTCGTGTCGTGCCGTGTGGTGTGGTGGTTGACATTTGGCTAGCATCGTGTTATTCTTTCCACAACCAGATACCCACTTGTCTTAGTAGAAAAGAAGAAAATCCCCCATTACAACGTTTCCTCTTCCGTGCAATAGAACGCTGTGAGTCTCAACCATGGCTGCACTGGTACAGACAATCCCCCAGCAGTCTAGTACCATCACCTTGCTGCAGCCTCGCCCATCCTCCTCCACAGCTGCCTTTCCTTCATCCTCACATTCCGGTCTTCAACAAATTCCACAAATGGCTCGAAACCATCAGGGGCCTACTAGGGCTTCACATAATAATACCTTGGGAAATGGCTCCGGTTATAGGGCTTCACAGGCTGTCCAGCCAGTTGCTCCTTACGCCTTCACTAGCACCCCCAGTCTGACCAACACAGGCAAGAATGCTTCCTCTCTCCTAAAGCCTGAATATAAAGCTGCGTCTACGCCCCAGACTCAAGCAAACCCAACTTTCCCAGGTGTAATCCCTTCACGAGTGCATTTCCCTGCTACTAGTTCGGTATCCAGTTCTTCCACCATTTCTTCCGTCACTTTGCACGGTTCGAAAGATGACTCTGCCATCCCCACGAGACAACGGACAGGGGAGCCTACGGCTCGCCCGCTATCTTCACTTGGATTTACTCTTCACTCAGTCTCTCCTTCGTCAACATCTGCGTCCGCCAAACCCTCCCCAGATCGCTACCGTCGAGGCCAACGACGTGTCGGGCAAACAAATCAAGTCCAGAATAGCCCAGGGAATGCTTCATCCTCTGTAACAAATGGACTGTCACATCCAAACCTTTCTCCTGGTACAAGTCAGAATACCACAGGCCCACATTATTTCAGAGGTGCCAGTGTGGATGATGCATTATTAATTGAAAAGCCTCAATCCACAGAACTAGCCAAGCGATATAGACGTAGAAGCTTGGGCAGCTTGGACACAAAAGGCTTGACGAACTTTGCTCCGCCGAAAACAACAGAACCTACAGCTAGGTTAAACCCGGAGGATTTATCCATGCCAGACAATCTGCGATGCCCACACTCAGCAAATGCTCCTTCAGCTAATGTTTACTCCCATGCGCACAAGGGTAGCACTGAAAGTGTTGCATCTACCAGATCATCTCCCCCAACTGTGGGTTACCATCCAACTATCCATCTCCCCCCCTTCCTTCCCAATCACATTCATTCAGCTAACATTTACTACTATCTAGGGAAAACGAACTTCATCCGCAGTTTCATCACCTACCACACTAAAACTAGATCACAAATTCGTTGATAATCCGAAACGTCTCACGAATCCTTCTCCTTTGTCTCAACCACTGAACATGGGCTCTGAAGCTTCGAAAACAGAGCCCACAACTAATTCCGCCTCCAAGCCATCTGCTCCAGCCGAGGAACAGCACTCATCACCTCCACAACTAAATCTCCAGAGTCCAGCTACAAAGCGCTTGACAGAATTATCAAAAAGGGGATTCCGCAAATCTGGAAAGTCTGGACTACGAAGGGTACTGTCGTTTGGCAGCGCTGCCGAACTTCGATCAGCGAGCGCAGCAACGCTAGAAGGCACCAATGCAACCACCACTACCACAACAACACAACAGTTAGCCCGACCTGGTCAAGAAGTTTCACGAAAGCAACAACTTGACGAGGAGCTAGGTGCAGAGCAAGCTGCAATTGCACAAAAACAAGAGGCCAATGGACTGGGTGAAAGCATATATTCCGGGCAGGGTCATATATTTTCAGAATCGATGGATAATTTGTCTATTTCTTCTACCGCGTCTTCTGCATCAATTATGTTACGAAAGATGGGCAAGGGCGTTAAAAGATCAACTCGATCACTTGTTGGGCTCTTCCGACCTAAATCAACACTTGGTAATTCTCGGGACCAAGCGTCTGTTGGAGCTATGACTCCTCAGATATCGATAGTAAATGTGGAAGCTGAACGGGAAAATACGACTTCGGCCAGCAATAATATCATGTCAGAGCAGGTTAATAAGGAGCCCACAGCGGCGATAATCCCGGCAGCCCTGGCTCAGGAACGCCCTTCTGTTGATACTGGTAGCACAGACACAGGAGGTGATCAGAGCAGTGTTGACAGCCTCAAAACTGCACGTAAGAGCATTCTGGGAGGGGAACGGGAGCGTGCTGAAGTCCTAGCAGCTGTAAGAAAGGGAATTTTAAAAAGTAGGCTCTTTATCTAATCATTCCTAAATCTAGAAGATGTCTATAAACTAATAAACTTCAAGGATCTGGCACTGGCTCCAACACATCATCCCCTGTTGTCCGACCAGTTGAACCCCGCGGTTCCACTGATATTCCCACCTCCAACATCCCACACTACAATGACTCCTCCCCCCACTCCAGCGCCCCTAGTACACCATGCGAAGACCGTCCTCCGCGCTCTGGACACCGACGAACCGACTCCATCACGATAGACGGCGAAGACTATTTCCTCCCCGCTGGCCGCTTCAGCACAACAGACTCTTCAAGCGCGCCCACTTCCCCACAGCCGGCCACTGCAACCACAGAGTCATCGGCAACGGTCCTCGTGAGGAATATCAGCTTCAGTCCTCGGATACAGTTCCATGACACGTGGCCAAGTGGGGAGTATGATCGACGTGGAGAGATTGCGACGTGTAATCGGCTCACGCCGCTCTTGGCACAGCAGATTAAGGAAGAGCTTAATACGTTTAAGATGGTTAGTTAGATTTTATACCTCTGGTTTTCTTTTCTCTCTGAAATATATGCTGACTCATTTGCTACTCAGGAGATGGAAGTGCACGAATCTTCTAAAGTGTATACACATTTCTTCTGATGAGAAGCTGAAACTGCATTACATTGCCGTTTACCCGGCGGTGGCGTTGTCCCACTTGAAATTGGCTTGAGAGATTATTTCAATGTTTTTAAAGAACTGTACTTGTGACCTACCTCTTCCTTTTTGTTCCTCGATGTTGAAACTTTTACACACGCCTGATTCTCCATTGGAGTGTTTCCCATTTGCCATACTCCACTCTCCCGGTCTCTCTCTCTTTTTTTTTAACACTTCTCTCATTGCTTTATGACGATCCAGGCGTCCCCTCATAAGTACTTGGAGTTTCTCCTTTTCCTTTCCCCATTCTCATCAAGTCAGTTCCAGCTGTTGCTTTCTACTCATCCCTTTTTACATCTTTATGATTTTCTGTCATCCTGGTTTCCCTCAAACTAGATCTTTGTCTAGTTGCATCCCCATCCATGTGTCTCTTACATTTCCTTTCGTAATGGCATTCGACTCTTTCCTGTCGTGTCTCCCGCGGTCGCGTTTCTTATCATGTACGCAGCGTCCACGTTCTCGAGTCATGGATTTTTATTTTCTTATCTCCGTCGAACATTTTGCCGCACTTGGTGGTCTAGTTTTCCGAATCTATTTTTCATTTTTACATTTTTCACCCCCTACTAATCTGCAATTCCTTTTTCTCATTTCCTTTTTCGCTGATTCTGTTTGGCAGAATTTTCTTCTCTTTTTTTGCTCTTTCCTTCACTACTTTGCAGTTCACAAGCATATGTGCTTTGATTATACTTGCGCCTGTGATCTTTTATTGTTATTTTCAATTTTGTGTTTGGGCTGTTTGGGCTGTTGGTCTGTTTTCTGCTCTTGAAATGGTTCTTTTCTATTTAGTTTCTTTCATTTTGTTTTTCTCCTTTGCCTTCTTTTTTCACCTCATCTCACGCTCCTTCAGTGCCGTGTTTTTAACTAGGAACAGAGCACACATTTCGATTTTGAATTTCAGTTCAAAAGAGGAATGAGAAAGAATGGGAAAGAATAAATAAATAATCCAAATAAGATAAATGAAACTGTTTAGTTTTGATTTTTGTCTGATTTTCTGTTGCTGGTTGCTGGCAGATGAATGATACCGAAATATATATGTATATATATATATATTTCATGTTGTATATTATTCAATTTCGATTGGATATGCTCCACATATCCACAGCTGCAATTGTTCTTCACTCAACAATTTTATGTATGTTTTATCCAGCATCCCCAGAAGCAACATGCCCCTTACCAGCAAAGAATATCCTCTCTCCACTTCATATTTTCCATCTGGGCGCCGTTTTACAGTCTTAAATCACGACAGAATCCACCATATACGCCGTCGTACTTTTGGGTGTAACTACATACGTATTGTCCATACGCATGTCCAATACGCCATGAAGACCAAACTATCTCCTGGCGCTAAGGCACAATGTGGTGGCACGTTGCATGGTGCCTTTCCACCCCTCCCCCAGCATGGCCGCGTTTCAGGAGGGCGGGGCCTGTGGCTTGGGAGAGAATTAAGCTGCGCAACTGGGTCATTTTAACTATAGTTAGTTAGTTTTCGATTAGAGCTTATGAAACTATTCCGGTATTTTAAAGCACTTTTCAAGCATGTGAGTGGCTTGTGGCCATCAAGGTGTATGATGTCACTCTCCCCAAGCTTGTTTTCTATAGCTGTCATATATTGTACAGACTTCTTCAACCCTATAAACGAACGTAACAAAGAATTCCTGAGGCAAAGGCTGGAACTCGTGGAGTGGAGGGAGGATTCATGAAATATCTTTTATCGTTTTTCGTTTTTTCATATGCGCGGGATGAAACTGGATGAAACTGGTGGGGCTATTCATATATAATGGGGGAGCGGAGAGGAGGAGAGGGACAAGCTGAGAGCAGAGTTTCACGTTCAAAAATAGAACAGAAGAGAGCTCACTTTATTTATTTAATAATTTTTTTTTTCTTTTTTTCTTTTCCCCCGCCTAGAAATCTAATATTCGCTCCATGTTCAATGGGGGGATGAAAAGGAAAAAAGCAGGATTCGGCCTCTCTTCAACTCCACTTTTAGGAATCCCCTGTTGCTTTTACAGCAAGATCGGACAGGGGCTCTCAAGGTACTCTTGGTAATTCTCTCTCTCTCTCTCTCTCTCTCTCTCTCTCTCTCTCTCTCTCTCTCTCTCTCTCTATCTATCTATCTATCTATCTATCTATCTATCTATCTATCTCTATCTCCTCTTCGTAGCTCTGTGCGTATATGCAGCTGTGTAGCATTTCTCGATCTGTAGCCGCGGAAGAGGGGAAAGGATGTTGAGACAGCAGAGATCCGTCGAACAGAAGCCAATCCATGGCTTGGTGTGGCTAAGCATCCTCGAGGTTGGCGTCACAGCCTCCCTCCATCCACATCAGGTGACCGACGGCTTTTGCTCGGGGGGGGCGGACACGGACGAACCGGCGACACCCAGCCCGGGCGGGAGGTCTTGAGATCAGGGCTTTGAAAGACACGCGGCTGCCCTTTCCCCCCCACCCCCGCCGCCAGCCCAGCTTCCCCTCCTGATTGGCAGGCTCGTTAATGTTTCCCCGGACACCGAAGATCTGCCCTGCAGCAGCGGCCACCCATCGCGCCATTTCCTTTAACAGTAGTCGTTGATGTTTACAGGTTCAATCTTATGTTGCCGCTGAGATCCGGGAACTTCTGCGACGAGCTTAATTTATATATCTATCTTATCTGTCCATCTCTATATACTGTAATCTATGCTTCAAGACCCTGGATAATCCCCATCGCCCCATTGCTGCAAAACTTCCCTGTGACCCGTGGACCCTTTTCTTCTTTCCTGTCGTGACTGGAGCGAAACGGTTGTTCAGCTTTGACGGTCTCGCAGCTCCTTGACTTCATACCAGCCATGGAAATCGGGACGGAATCAAGCCCAGGGCATATGGTTGCCGACAGAGACGATAAACATGTTGTGGAATCGCAGGCCGTTCCAATATTGGAAAACGCCCCCGAAGGAGCCCTCCCCTCCGGAACCGTCGATCCCGTTTACGAAGCAAAGGCCCAACTTCTGAACCAAGCGATTCTTGACATCGGAATGGGGTGGTATCAGTGGCAACTGTTTGTAGTTATCGGTTTCGGTTGGGCCAGTGATAATCTTTGGCCAATCGTCACGTCCTTGATTTACACACCCGTGAAAAACGAGTTCTCCCCAGACCGGCCGCCTTATCTACCCCTTGCGCAAAGCCTGGGGCTCCTTGTTGGAGCTGTTTTCTGGGGGTTTAGCTGTGACATATATGGTCGACGCTGGGCGTTCAATCTTACCATCGGCATAACGGCAGTTTTTGGACTGGTGGCTGCTGCGTCTCCGAATTTCGCAGCTGTCGCAGTGTTCGCAGCGCTCTGGTCGCTTGGAGTAGGCGGGAACTTGCCTGTCGATTCTGCCATTTTTCTGGAGTTCTTGCCTGCCACTCACCAGTATCTTCTCACGGTTTTGTCTATCGGTTGGGCACTTGCTCAAGTCGTGGCAAATCTCATTGCTTGGCCCTTCCTTGGAAATCTAACCTGCGAGCAAAATGCGAAAGAATGCTCACGTTCTGAAAATATGGGATGGAGATATTTCTTGATATCGGTGGGGTCGCTCTCAATGATCATGTTTTTCCTCCGTTTTGCCTGTTTCACTATCTTCGAATCACCAAAGTATCTCATGGGGAGAGGAAGGGATCAAGAGGCCGTCCACGTAGTTCATCAGGTGGCCCAGCGGAATGGGAAAACATCGTCTCTTACTCTCGAAAACCTGGAAGCTCTCGGGCACGGCACCACTCAGGGGACAGGTGCTGGAACTGCGTTGGGAAGAAACTTGGAGAAGTTTGACGCAGGTCACGTCAAATCGCTTTTCGCGACTCCCAAATTGGCCTGGTCAACCTCTCTGATGATACTCATCTGGGCGTTTATAGGACTTGGATTTCCCCTTTACAACACCTTCTTACCATATATCCAATCCAGCCGCGGCGCCAATTTTGGGGATGGTTCCACTTACATAACATACCGGAACTCTCTAATAATTGCTGTCCTTGGAGTCCCTGGTTGTGTCGTCGGCGCGGTGCTGGTTGAAGCACCACGGTTTGGGAGGAAAGGGGCATTATCCCTCTCGGCCACGCTCACGGGTGTATTTCTAGTTGCCTCAACCACCGCATTGTCTTCCAACACCCTCCTTGGCTGGAATTGCGCGTACAGTTTCATGAGCAACATCATGTATGCTGTTCTTTACTCCTACACCCCGGAGATATTTCCAACGAAGGATCGCGGCACTGGCAACGCCCTTACAGCCGCCGCCAATAGAATATTCGGGGTCATGGCGCCCATCATTGGCATGTTTGCTGATTTGGAAACGGCGGTGCCGGTTTACATCAGTGGCGCACTGTTCATTGCTGCCGGGGTTTTAGTTATGTTGCTACCGTTTGAATCAAGGGGGAAAGCTAGTTTGTAATACAACGTCACCGATCCGTTAGCTAGGTAGTTTATCCATGGGTGATATATATATTTTTTTCTCCAACCTTTTTTATCTAACTCGGATTTGGTGCGAGACTAACGGCGAGAAACTGGTAGAGATCCGTGTTTCGTGTTTCTCAATAGGCTGTCACAACAAATTTTCTCAACTTTAACAGCAGTTACCGAGCCGATCACTTCATTTAAGCTCATTTAGACGAGAGATCAATGCTCGGGCTTGGAGAGATCTATGATCGAGACAGCGTCTAAGCACACGCGCTGCCTATCTTTATGAGGGGACTTTGTGGTATACGAACATCCCATGGTAAGCCACTAAGCCCTGAAACAGGGGACAGATCCAATTATGTATGCACATGTATGTTCGGTTGTTCGTGTATATCTGATATTTTTGATTTTCAAGATATTTTGTGCATCGCAACACGTTGTTCCGGTGGCATTGCACACAGCAAGTTGCTCGGCATCAACTGCCTCCGCAACGTGAAGCACCGTTGTCTGAGGTGGGGCCCTAGGGGCAAAAACGACAGCCTTTTATGGATCAGCCATTATTAATAATTCGTTAACTAACTTAACTATGTTAACTAACTAACTAGTTAGGGAGGATTAGTTAGTTATTCGAGCTTTTCCTGGGAATAACTAACTAGTTATGGTGCCGCCGATGTTAATAATAATTACCCCACAATGACTGTGGATTCTGGAGGGATTTGCTTATCCTCCAGCCACAGCAGTTTTGCTCCTGCGGTTCCCCCAACTAGTTAACTAGTGATAGAAGGGCGCTGACAAGAAAATATGTCTCCTGTTAACTTTTGCAGTTCATCAACAGAACCTCGACTGCGCATGGATATATATATCACTGTGCACTTGTATGCAGAGTTTGGGAAACCCAACGTCATAACCTGATATTCTCTGCGCCGACGGAGAATATGTGGAGAAGATGCGGGAGAAGATACACCCCGGTTTGGTCAATTGAGCCCCTCCAGTGGTACAAGGTTGCCCGTTGGATCTAGTTGCGCAGATCGTTTCGACCTGAGGACCCCATATCGAACAATCCAGTATGATTGGTGCAGACAGGACGAGCCAAAGTTGGCATGTCGGCGCCTGGCTGAAAAGTTCTATAAAGGAACTTTGGAACCGCTTAAAGGGATAGGGTAAACAATCCTCAAAAGTGGAGGTTCTTGATGACGGCCACCCTCTTAAGAAGAGCGAAATATGCAGATTAAGCGGCGTCCCAGTAGGGATCAAAAGTTGTTGGTTCAGGTTTTTCCGTCAACTTTTCTCTCATCATTCCTCTCCTACATCAAATGCCCTTTGTCGAGGTCATTTTACTGCTGAGAATTCCCACCCGAGAAGGAAGCTGTTGTGCGCATCATATCTTCCTTTATTGTGGCTCTTCATCCGCCAAAGCCATGCACAGCATTGCGGTGCCTCTGCTCCAACAGTCGAACTTCCCATTGGCAATGCTACAATAGGGGGTGATTCAGACTTAGTACGATGGGGACTGGGTATTGGCGTTGGCACTCCTACACAGCAACTAGTTGTTGCGATAAACCCGTACGTCTCCCATCTTCGGGATTCAGCTCTGCAGTGTGTTTTCATTTGGCTCGAGCTTAGCTAAAAATTTTATCCCCTTGACATAAATGATTGGAATAATTCATTTCTCTGGGAACGAAACTATTACATTAAACCCAGATGCAAACAGTGCAATCAGTTCCCATATATTCACCAAAGACCTGCCAACCGCCCCAGGGTAGTATTGGGGTTAGTCGTTCGTCGCCTTTTCTCGATGCGCTCAAAGCCCAGAAAAGGATTTCCTCAAGGACGTGGTCACTATTCTGGGGCTGGCAAGGTATGAAAGCATCTCAGCAAATGAAAGGGAAGCTTGTCCCGGGTGGCTCTGACAGAGCGAAGATCAAAGGCGACAACTTTACCAGGGAGTTTGTCAATCCCAAGAAGTGTTCTAGTGGATTGATGGTCTACGTAAAGCGAATTCACATCATAACGTGGTTTTGTGACGAAAGGAACGTCTTTGACTCGTCAGGGACACCCTCAATGCATGTATTCAGCCGGATTTCCCGTCGATTTCTCTGCCTGATCCCGTCTTCAACAAGTTTAAGGGTAGCTTTCCTGGAAAGTAACTAGGCCCAGCGGATGGGATATACGATGGCTCCTTGGTGCGTAATGATATCGATCGGTAAGTTGTTTTCCGCCATCCCATTTTTATGGAAATACTTCTCCGGTAGTTAATGACTGCAATCCCACGAAAAACCATGTACTAATTCAGGTTTTCCAGCTTCCTAGAAAATCCGACATTCACGCTAGGCACGGCCTGATCATTACCGTCCCGAACCATCAATTGGTCCTGCCAAACGTCGCCATAATCGCCATACCTAAGGATGGAAACAGACAATCACCAACGACTCACGGATCACCCCAATTCTCAATGCCAGCCCGGAAGGCGCCCCATACTTAGAGCAAGCTTTTCTATCCTCCACGTGTCAACATGTCAACAACGATCTCAGGAAATTCTCCATTTGGGAAGCGAACCCAACTGAAAAGACAAACATAGTTGGTGTTGCCGAGGGCCCTTGCGATGCTGGTCCTGCAACGGACTCCCAGTCCCAAACTTCTGACAAGAACTTAAGCGGCGGCGCAATCGCCGGCATTGTTGTTGGGGCGGTCGTTGGAATTGCATTCATCTGACTGGCTCTATGGTTTCCTTAGCTGGCGGCGAAACCAGAGCCAAGCTCCGCAGGTGCCAAAATCCCACGGTCGGGATTTCATGGGTTCCTAACCAAAAGAAAACGCCCCTGACCTGGATGATACTGGGTTTTCGCACCCGCCCCTGGAGCCCAAGGATTTGTCAGATGCACATGGGGTATGGCGTGAAGAATTCGCCGCCTGCACGGCGGAGTTCCTCTCACAGTCGGCTTCAGTTGAGTTGCCAGCTGACAATACTTACAACAGTAACGTCGTATGATTCTTCTTGTATTCATTTCTAAACAATCGACTCTCTGTGCATCATTTCTATCATTTTGTGCGCCCCCCTAGTTTTCCCGCGACACCCTACAAAGATCTCATTCTTTTGTATGTTTTAGATTTTACCTCCATGTACACCACCTCTTTTTTTTATCTACATAACACGTCCGAAGAATTAGGCCCATAACAATATTTGGGTAGATAGAAAGTCGCTCTCCAATGGGCTGTGAGAACAATACATACATGTATCTCGTCATCATACCCATGACATTGTGTAATACAGCACCCGTTGTCGCGCATTAAGTGAAGAGTGGGGCTGGATACTTAACAGAAGTATTTTGCCGGGTTCTTCAGTAGAAATTATCACAGTTATGCTCCGTAGTATCCTCAAACGCGGCTGCGCTAGGATAATCAATTAATATGTCGAGTGCTTGATGATCAAACTAAACTTGCCATATGAACGTAACTAGTTAACTAGTTACTATTTAGCCCTTAAAAGTAATTTTTTTTCCCCTTCAATCCCCATCCAACCTGATCGTGGTTAAGCAACACGGGACTAACCAAACATTCATATAAATTTCACAAATTACAAAATCGCCGGTTTGCGCCCCGTTGTATTTGTGAGTGTCTCTTTTCTAGGGGTTCAACATTTGCACAAATATTATGGCACCTGCGGCACCCACATGTATTTAACCCTTGAAACATGTGTTTTGTGCTCTTCTCCACACAGCAGCGGAGTCCACTCTGCGACCTGTGAAAATTCTGCATGCCAATCTCTGATAGCGAATGTAATTGCTTGCCCGTGATATCCTGTTGCATGTGACATTATAAGCCGTCCACTCGCAGCAAAAACAAAGTATCATGCTTGATCGTCGTTTTGCTTCGTTTTCATCCTCGTCTGCATGTTCTATCTCCACAATACAATTGAGCCGGCGAACTTTCATGAATCTGCCACCGGTGAATGCGAAGGGGAGGCAGTTGCAAAGATAAACATGAAGAAGGAACTTGCAGGTAGAATAAGACGCCTGGTTATATTCATAAGCCAATTTCTAGACATAAATTCTCTGAAACACCCTGTAGCATCAAAGTATATCTATAAGCTGCGTACAATTAAATATCCAAGAGGAACAGATGCGGCAGCCGTGTTCGCCATCGAGGGCCGATACACAATCCTCGAAAATGTCACTGCATCATTTCGGAGATTGGAATATTTAGCGGTTAGTACGCCAAAGCGTGTCAAGAAAAGTCAGCTTTCGACTGAACATTTCATTTGAAAACTCGCTTCTGTCCGTCCGTCTACCCCCTGTTTATGATCGTGTTCACAATGGAAGCGAAAGACTTCAAAATGAGCAGAAAAATAGGTTTTCATATAATAACGAGCATTCCCTGCACAGCATGGTCGGGAGGATACTTGCATCATCGCTGTCGTAGACTTGGAATATCTGCACTGGGACGCCAGATGTGCTGTTTTCACATTCAGTGGCTAATTGGTCGAGCAGCCGTTGAGAGCTTTAGTCCATTCACGTGAAATATACATATATATATACACAAATAAATAAAAATAAAAAACTGACGTGGCCCAGGGAAACACCTGATAATTCCTTAACTGCATTTCTTTTTCCTTTCGTCCATCTTTTCTCATACATAATCCCGCCACACGCGGACCATGGCCATCTTAGCACACGCTGCGGGACTCCACAACGAATAACGCAGAGCCAGACAATAGCTTCAGAATTGCGAGTGTCCGCGTTTATAACAGCAGCTTCCACTTGGTCCTCAAATTTTCCCCATCAACTCACAGAAAGTCTTGACTATTATGGGGAAAGCTTTCGGACCCATCACAACTAGGTTGATTCAAGGGCAGAAAACGCACAACGAAAGGGGTGCGGTGAATGCCAGAAGGGAGAGAAATTGAGATATAATACAGCCGTGGTGCTGCAAGCAGCCGAAAATCCAGTGCCCTTCTTATGTCTGTACAGTATTTGTTTATCATAGACCAGCAAAAGAATTGAAGTAGATGCCAGGGTGAGCATTGACGGGTTCACGAACTAAACAAGTAAGGCATGGAGGCATGACAGGCTGCCAGGAGAGATGGTTGTCCCTTCTCAGAGTCCAAGGGCGAAAAAGCATCCTGGCACACCATGAATTGCATATACATAATTGATTGCCAGGGTTGATGCAGTATTTCAAAGGACTGACCAACGACAAAACAAATTGTCAACTAAGATGGTTTGTCGGCCTATGTTATTTCAAACGACGAAAAAAGCACCCCCAAAACACCAAGCGGGGGAAAGGGCCCGCACAACTTGAGCGGTCCCAGGACTTTGATAGCGTAAAGATGATAGATCCCTTGTCTATATCCATGATCTATCCGTGAGGTTGCATTCCATGGAAAGGTCATCCGTCCAGAGATGCGGGTGCATCGGGCGCAGTTCGGTCGACATTATGCAATGCGGGGTGACCGGGTTCCACAGAACATGAACACTTCCTTGCTGAGTCTCGCGCACCCAGTTGCACGTCAAGGAAAAGGATGATGTTATATTTCTATCTCTAACAGACGTTATCAACGTCTGGTTGGTGGTGGGGCAAGAGAGTTACCATTCTTGAAAATAGAATAGTTAAATCTTCTGTACGGAAAACCCTTCCACGAGTATAACGTCGGATTTAAAAACATTTATAATTATATTTTTTATGTAACTATATAAATAAATTTATTTTTAAATTTTATTTTTAAATTTTTTAATATATAATTAATCTTAAAAACATTATAAAAAATTATTTATAATTAAAGTATATAAATAAATTCAATAAATTTTTATTTATAATATTTAATAATTTTAATATATAACTTTTTATATTATATAAATCAATATTATAAAAATCATTATTATATATAAAAACTCCAAGTTTTAAAAATAATGAAAAAGACTTAGTGAAAATTTTAAAACTAGAGAATAAACTTATTGTTATTTAAGTCTACATAACTACTCAATAAAAAATTTACTAAATAGAGTTTATATCACGTGAATAAACGTCCAAGGTCGCAAGCGAAATCCATTAATTAGTGTTGATATTGATATCAACATAGGCTCTAACTGTGCCCACGCACACTTACCATTAGTGAGTGCGCCCCACTGTAAAGAAAATATCACTGTAACAAAAATCTCTTTCTTGTATATTCATCACCAATCTTCAAAAATTAATAATCACCACCATCATGCCTAATAATATTTAAATATTTAGAAGATCAGATTCAGATATCATTAAACATCATAAAATTAAATTCAAATTTAAAAATTACAGATAGAGTGTGAGAATTTAAAATTCTATATGAAATTCTGTATAAACACATTAAGGGAAAGAGATAAAAAAATATAAGAACTCCAATCAATTGAACATTGAGTGACAGTCAGAAGAAAGCAATCAAAAAGTGAATTCATCAACTGAATAAAGACTTTTGTTCTTCTACAGTTGAATATATCAAAGCTGCTGCAAATCAAATGCTAAGTTATTATCATATTAATTCTGGCATTTCTCTTTCTCCCATGAGCAAGATATGAGTATATTAATTCATCAAATGTCTATTAGATTATAAAAAGACTAAGTAGAAATCTATGAATTCAAAATAAATATTAAATAAAAATATAAATTTTGTTATCAACTGATTCAACTATTATGAATCTATTTTCAATCAGTATAAGTTTCACATCAGCAATATTTATAATTTCAATGAGATTGAATTTCAAGAAGAAGAAAAGTATAAATAATAAATTATAATTATCTATCAAGATATCAATTTCGTTATATAATCATTATATTTTCATGAGTTAATAATAGTAATAGAATATATTAGTGCAAATAATATAGTATTGAAGTCATTAATTATAATAAAATTAAAGATTTATCTAAAAGATTAATATATATACTTCAATCTGTCTGATGATTATATCAATATCATATCTGACACTGGTTTTACTAATAATAAAATTGAAATTAAATGAATAAAATATTTTAATACTATTATTCATTGATTATTACTGCTTGACAATCATATATCTCATCGTACTGAAGAATTTCTTCAATATTATAACTTTTATAACATTATTGTATTTGAATTCTCATCTCATATAAATTATTTATTGTAATTTATTGATAATGTACTTTATCAACAATATAAACATTATCATATAAAAGTAATTAATGAAGCTACTCAATATGAATATGAACAATATAATAGAAGATAATTCTTTACTAATCTAGAAAGTGTTTATCATCAAATCTTGAAATCTGTTATCATCAGAGCTAGATTTACTAAATGTGGAATTTATTTAATTAATAAAAAGTAATCTTTCAATGTTTGAGATAATATAATATAAATAATAGCCTGAAACTGTTTATTTATTATGATAATGATAATGATGATAATGATGATAATGATGAATGCTTTAATTTTACTTCATTTTCTGAGATATAATTTTTTACTATATCTTCTCAGTTGATATTCTCAAATATAGTTATAAAATTACATTGTTAAATTGAGGCAGTAGATAAAATTATACAAGAAATAAAAAATACTTTAACATCTGATCTAACTCAGCAATTAAATAAAATCTTCAAAAGAAGTCCGATATAAACAGAATTAAATGTGTACTGAGAGAATTAGTTATCTGCTCATTATTTGATAAATAGATACTGAATTGTCAAAAACAGCTGTAGACAGGTGCAAGTAGAGAGGGTCCTCATTATCAAGGATGCCAATCACAAGATCAAGCATCATGAGGAAGAGGAATCAATAAAAGAGAGGAATAGAGCTTTATAGTCAGTTGAAATCAAAGTCCTCAAATCAAATACCAACCAATCACAATATAATATTATTAATGAATCTCAATCTATCAGAGATTTTATACGCTCTAGTGAGTATATAGATAATCTTTATATTATAGATAGGCATGGTGTTGACCATTAATTAAATTTTGAAGATTGGTGATCCTAGAAGATTTTCATTACAGTGATATTTTCTTTACAGTAGGGCGCACTCACTAACGGTAAGTGCGCGTGGCACGGTTAACCCGGTCCAACTTAATACCCAGTTTCGAAACCGAGACGCATTGCGATGAGAAGACCGTGAGAATAAGTAGGCCACTGCGTAGATGAAGGAGATATAGAGGAATTCATCCTGTTTTGTTTCCTTTCAGAGAAGCAAGAATTTTTGCTTGAACCCTCCTGCAGGCGAGTTTTGTCTAAATTTCCCGATTTGGAGACCATGGGTTCGAAGGTCAACTTCCCTGACTACTACGGAAATTCAACTCTCTCTCAAGAAATCAGACCTAGGGCCGAAGACTGTTTTTAGACGATAACGGGGAGAAACAAGTCCAAAAAAAAATATGACAGCGGTAAAATGACAGAGAAAGAATGTTGATGAGAGTGGGATTCGAACCCACGCCCCTTTCGAGACCAGAACCTTAATCTGGCGCCTTGGACCGCTCGGCCATCTCACCCATCGCTTGTATGGAAAGGGTCCTAACCGACTTATTATATTTCTTGATTAGGTAGTGGGCCATGTTTTTAGCAAATTTGCTTGAGACAAATGAAAAATTTTCATAGAGAAGTGAGCAATGCAGAGTTCAAAGTTCGATTTACTCACTGATTCGATAATATAAATGCCGTATTAATTAATTATCAATGAAATTGCCGTTGTTGCGGTCTAGCTACACTGTTTACATACATGGACAGCGGACAGCCTTCACGATACACGCTTCTGACGTAGCAGGTGGGATCACCCGGCATACGCCGAGATCCGATTTTGTGTGTAATTAGATCTCGCCGCCCCTTCCTCTAAATACAAATAGTTGAGCGATTTGAAAGTGTGGGGAGCACTGGTGATGTAAATCCCCCGGCATTCAGTCCTCGTGCGCACTGTCTTCCGAACTGACACTCCTAGAGTAATTAGTCAAATAGTTGCACAAGTTTAAAGCTAGTTGGATATGCGTCTAGGGGGGAAACCTCCAACGAGCAGCAGGGGGTCATCTAAACTTAACAGTTAAGTTTTACCAATCTTCTGGATGGTATGTGGCCAAAGCACGAATGCTAACCGGGCTCTTATCTGTGCGAAAACCGATCAATTCTGGACACGGGCTTTCAAGCTGGTCTTTCTTGAGGAGGCGTACAATTACCAGGCGCTGGAGGTCGGTCAAGCAATGTAACATGGCCTGATAGCTGTCGTTGCGATATTGTAACTAGTTAGCGAATTAATAACTTACCTAAGGTTTTCCGAAATCCACAAGCAAGAATGGCCCTGTCAAGTTTGTAATTTTATTCCACTTCAGCATTTTGCGGTGTTATTAATATTTATATCTTTGGCACAAGCCTTGGAGCAGTTGTACCGGCTCTGGTTTCGCCGCTCTGTCGAACAAAGCTAGGGTACAAACTCCCGTAATGATTCAACTTAAAGCTAGATCTGAAGAAGCATGCTATACTGCACACTTCAATATAGCTATGGGGAATATGAAAATCTGCAAATAGGAAATTGAATCACAAAACAGTTTTCGTGACGGAGATTACAGCAGCCATTTTAAACAGTAAGTACTGGCACAATTTCCCTGGAAAAGACATGACAATGGCCCGTGTCGAGTCCAAGGAAATCCGAGGTCTTGGAATCGCCTGTTAACTGAGCGGAACCATGCACTAAACTAGCAGCTACGCAGCAGTTATAGACTGAATAAAGCGTACGGACTGTTGATGTCAAGATGAGAGGTTAGATTGAGAACTGAAACTTTACAATATAGACTTTATAGAAGTTTATTTAACTGATTCTAAAGACAGTATATTATTCAGAACCTCTTTCAGCTTGTACTTGCATTTTTGAGAGAAATCTAAAAAGTAGTTAGTAGAATAACATAGTCTTAGTAGATGAGAAAATTCAGCAGCAGCACTCTTAGTCTCTTTGAAAGCTTCTTTCATACTGGCTAAGGTGGTAGAGATTTTATGTAGGTAAGGATGTTTAGTAGAAATTCCATGTAGATAACTAGAATATTTAGTAGGAAGTAGTGAACGCATTTTACTAGATACACATTTTTCAGGTGTTGACTAATTAAATAAAATTCAGGACAAATCCGAGCGAGCCAATTTAGATCTACCATGCAAAATATATGAGGAATCTATTGGTTGAGCCATTCCAACCCCTGTGAATGTTTTACACTAATTGGAAAACCCTCTAATTATGGCAAAATCTACGGAATCGAGGGATAAACTCACTCGATATTGAGAGGAATTTCATATCATGAAGGAATGAAATTCTATATTACCTAACTAGGCGATCTAACTAACTATTAGAGATAAATTACCATTTACCACATATTTCTGTAAGTTACCATGTAATCCAATAATACAACGTAAAAATTACGCTATTGAAACCCCTCTAATTATGGCAAAACCTACGGACGAGGGGATAACTAATAGTTAACTTAGCTCAGAAGTACCTGACGCGGGCTTGAAGTGGCAAACCGCTGCGAGAAGGAAATAAGCTTCTGGCAACTCGCATGGAAGTTAAAGCAACGGAACGAAAAGGGGTCAAAAGTTGAGGAGCATGAACCAATTTCCAACCGGGCTTGACATCACTTTTATTCTGTCTATAATCCGTGGTTTTTCACTTGCAAATAGTTACAATGAATTAAAATTTGCACTAATAGCAAGGGTTGGCAGTAATCTGTCACCCCCCTGATATTTTTTGGGCGGAGGAACCTTGTTTTTGGGCCGTGGAAAATTGGCCGATGTCCTAGCGCTTTTTAATATTGATAAAAAAAAAAAAAAAAAAAAAAAAAAAAATCCCTTTCTCTTTTTTACCATAGGCGATTGATATTTGATAAGCGGAGTGGTTGGTTTTCAAAGGTTCAGCAGAGGATCATACCGGTAGAAGAAACAGGGCTGGTTGAATAATGAATGATTAAGGCGCTGGCCCCTTTCAGTTTATCGCAAAATACAAACATCATTGATATATATGCATCATACAATACAAAATTCCTCAATCGTAACAAGTTGTTCGGTAGCTAGGAAATCTTGGTGACGGTCGGCAAAAATCATCATGAGACTTGTGAAGTGCAAAGGGACAAGGGCTTGTAGTTACAGGGAGTCAATATAAACCATAACTACAGGGTTGGATTGATTTCGTTTCGAGGGCCCCCATGCTTGTCACAAACCAATGAATATATCGAAGTATGGAGAGGCACAGGGTGTACCTTGCTTGTCCTCGGACACATGTTAAAAGGTAAAAAGGACAAATCGTGCTAGTGACGTGGAAGGCTAACTTTGATATAGTTTCTCATGTCCTGCATCGACACTGAAATGAGGGGTATGGACGGTAGGACGACGGAGAGAACCTTGTAGTTATGAGTGCGGCAGTGGAAGTGGTGAGGGCAAGCATGGAAGATTTACCTGATCTGACCTGAACAGTGAGCACAACGCATAATTTCATAAAAAAAAAATAGATAATAAAAAAAAGGGTAGATAACTGTAACTAGGTATCAAGAGGAATGAAGATTAGTCACAGTCAGCAAACCCGCAATGAGTCAACTAAGTTAGTAACTTAGTATACTATAAAAATTTTAACCCTAAATAACTTCCGCAACTACGGAGTAACTAAGTTGCTACTTTTGAAATTAAGTTAAATGACATTAGGTTTAGAGGCATCTTAGACTTGTTATCAGAGCCAGTCTACCTGAATTTGCGTATATAGTAGTTTATAAAGATCATCCATCTATTTAGTAATTATATAGTATTATTACATGAAAAATATTATACGCCTAATGCGGCTTTAGAAATTGAAATTACTTCTTGATTTCCAAAAGAAAACATAGCAAGTTCGAGTCTTTCCACTATCTCTATAGAGTTTCTTGCCTCTCTACCGCAATTTAATGGCATTCTCGCGCAGTGAAGTGAATGTACCAGGAAAATTAAGAATACTTTGAAAATAGTGATTGATTCAGTGAGATGATTAAGCTCAGTGAGGAATTCCATTTGGTTAACTAATCCTTAAGATCTCTGCTCTCTTATCATTCAATCTCAACAAGCATCATAACAGTCAAGAAACATCCATGAACGAATGCACTTCTGTGAAGCATCAAACTTGTTCATGCCACTTAGTCACGACTGAGTACTAGCCCTTGACGGCCTAGATATGTTCTCCGAGCTGGAGTGTTTGCATCATTCATGCTGATTGTTGGCATTACTGTCTAATCCCAGGAACCCACCGGGCACGTGAGTTAGCAAAGCACGGTTTAAGAGAGGGGAATCCTTGTGGGTGAGATTTCTTTGCAGGGAACAAGTGGCCACAGGAGCAACAGTGCAAAGCTTGACGGCGGACAAGGTCTTTATTATGCTAGAAGAATATGAAGCACCAGATTTGAGGCTTGCCAGGACAGGAATATTCTGCTCCGTGGATGGAGCAACTAAGTTAGTTTCGGAGTAGGAAAAACAATTTACGGGTCCAGTCCAAGCACGGAGCAGTAGTTAAACTAAAGCTTGAAATTTGCTCCAGTTGCCGACACACCTACTCCACAATCTCTGGATGTGGTTGGAGAACGGGAATGGGGTAAATCTGCACGCCCGTTACCGCCTCCAAAAGGAATTGGTGCTTGTGCCGCACGTGAAAAGGAAGCTCCCGTTTTCTTCTGACGTTCCAGTTAACTAGTTTAGTTAACTGCTCAACTAACTAGTTATAGCGATGGTTAGTTAGTTACTCTGTGTCTAACAATAGAAATCAGGTTCCAAAGAACGGTAACTCCACATTCCGCCATACACTCTTGCTTTTGAAGGGCTGGATTTCATTCTGGCGCGGGATCGACTTCATATCAGTGCTTTGCGCCATTCTTTTTATTCAATGCAATAGTTAGTTATTGATTCCCCCGACCTGCTATCGAATCAACATTCTGGCGAAAGAGTGATAGATTTCACGGCGGTTGGAAGTATGTACGAGCAGTGCAATTACAACTTGTACACGGTCTTTAATCAGGAACGGGATATCGCTTGTTGCATTATGGGACGGACAAAATACCGCTCTCGAGTATAGAATGCTAAGTGACTTTTCATCTACTTGTGGTCGTTCAATCGCAGCAGCCCTGCAGTTTGTCCTGCGATTTGTCTAACAATGCTTTTATCCTAACGTTTTCAGCCCCCGATTAAGTTCCATATCGCGTGCTTAAAAACTCTTTTGAAAGAGATGGGAGTCTAAAATTGAAGCTAAATTCGTTTGTTTCCATGTTTCGTTGTAGCATTAGGTGAACCATATCCACTCTCATTGGCAGACGACTCCTCCAGAATTATTCTCCTCGGCAAGGGTGGACACCGGCGGGGATTAACGTTTTAAAACCTAACTAAACCCTCCAAAATCATGCGATGCGACCTAGGGACATACATTGCTTACCCCCCCCCCCCCTACCCAATTTAATAAGACACCCAGGATGTGGAATCAGCAAGTTGACAGCACCCAACATTCCAAGAAGCTAATACAAGGCGCTCACGGACGAGCGGTGATCGCTTCGGAGAATGCCAACTAAGCCCGGGTCAATCTGAACTACCGTTAGGAAGAACAAATTGGGAACAATAAAAGTCAAGCTAAGCGAGCCAGCCAAACTTATAGTAGCATGTAACATCGTCCCCCAAGAAAATTGCAGAAATTCAATTGACCTCGTTTGATTGGGCCGCATTCCCCAGATGCTGAAGTTCCAACGACTCGTTCTGTGTTCTGTTAGCTTTCTGACTTGAATATAACGACAATGCTACCTTGGTGAAATCCCGCCTGCTTGCATGGCCGGCTGTCACGGTCGGGGTAATCCCGCCCTGGCATGGCTTGCATGGTTAATTGGACTTGGGAGCAATATGTAAAGACCCAACCCTCCCTCTCTGCCGCCGTCGTTCCGCTGTTCTCCTTTTTCTTTTCTTTCTTTTCTTGGCCTCGTTCTGATCACCACAACCTACTTCTCTTTTAACGTTCTTTTGTTATGAGCTCCGTCCGTTGCGGACATTTGAATGATGGCTTACAGTGCAACTGCAGAGGGTCTTGAAGTGGCCAGGGCCGATTCCAAGGAAGTTGCGGTGCCAAAGCAGCAGATGGATGTAAAGGAGCTGGACGACTACTCTGACAGCGAATACCCCGAACCAACGGAGCATGACCTAGATACCCTCAGGCGCATTCCCGATAGAATCCCATGGATTTGTTTTACTATCGCTTTTGTTGAATTGTGTGAGCGATTCGCTTACTACGGAACTACGGCCGTCTGTATGTTTTCGAACCCAGAATCACGGGATTGAGTATCCTACAGACTTGAGGAACTGATCAAAAATGTTTCTAGTGACCAACTTCATACAGCAAGAGCTTCCACCAGGATCGACTACCGGAAATGATCCTACTCCCAATGGACAACCTGGAGGTGCGCATCGACCGTTCCCTCATTATCTGTGTTGCGTCCTGCGTGAATAGTCTCCTAACTTCACTATCAGCCCTCGGCAAAGGCCAACGAGCCTCACAGGGTCTCGTACTGTGTATGTGACACTTACCTGACTAACTCCGGGTTTGAGAAATGGCTAATAATTCAAATAGTCAATAAAATGTGGTCTTACTTTTCCCCCCTCTTCGGCGGTAGGTATACGGTTCCGTCTTCAAGGAGAAGCTTTCAGTTCTGATGATATCAATCCATAGGCTACCTTGCGGATTCCAAATGGGGTAAATTCCGAACCATCCAGTATTCAATTGCCCTAGCAATGTTTGGCCATGTCATTATCATTATATCCGCTCTCCCGCCCGTGATTCGACATCCTGAAGGAGCTATGGTATGTCTCGCCATAGGTCTTGTTGTCTTTGGTGCAGGTGTTGGTGGTTTCAAGTAAGATAACGAGTTGTCAGAATTGGAGATTCTGAGATATGCGACTGATGTTTTCCAGACCCAACATCTCACCCCTTATGGTTGAGCAGCTGAAGCACACGAAGATGCGGGTTATTGAGCGGAACGGCGAACGGCTAGTTGTTGACCCGTCTCTGACTACGCAGCGTATTTTTATGTACTTCTATCTCTGCATTAACGTCGGTTCGATTGTCGGACAGGTTACGATGGTCTACGCCGAACGATACATTGGCTTCTGGCTCTCCTTCACTCTCCCTACAGCTATGTTTTGCATCTGTCCTCTCGTTCTTGGAATTTTCCACAAAAGATACATTCAATATCCACCGACCGAATCCGTTCTTGGAAACGCAGTCAAGCTTCTCAAGTTTGCCTGCAAGGGGAAGATCTCCTGGAATCCAAGAAAAACGTAAGTTTTGTCGTTCACTTCTGGCAGAAATCAGCAATGACTAACATCCAAAAAGTTTCCGTAACCTGGGATCTCCCTCATTCTGGGATGATGTCAAACCATCCAACGTTGCACACAAGCCTAAGTTCATGACATTCGACGATGCTTGGGTCGACCAAGTTGCAAGAGGAACCAAGGCCTGTTTGGTGTTTGCATACTATCCCCTATTTTGTAAGGCCTCCCGCGCATACATGCCAATTAGGTATCCTTCGATACTGACTTGAAGCAGGGCTGGCATACAACCAGATTGATGGAAATCTTACGTCTCAAGCCGCAACTATGGAACTTAACGGCGTACCAAACGATCTCATTAACAATTTGAATCCTCTTGGAATTGTTATTATGATTCCAATTTTGGATTTGCTTGTCTATCCTTTCCTACGTTGGCTTAAAATTAGGTTCTCCCCTCTCAGACGTATGACAGCTGGTTTCTTCGTTGCTTGCTCTGCTATGATTTGGGCTGCTGTCGTCCAGAGCAACATTTACTCCAAAGGCAAATGCGGCAAATATATGAACAAGTGTGATCAGCCCGCCCCATTGAATGTGTGGATTCAGTCTGGCGCGGTAAGAATTTCTCTATCAGGCAACGTTTTCTACATTCGTCGTTTCAATCGCTAATTAAAATAATAGTATGTGCTTGTTGGCCTTGCTGAAATCATGGCCTCGATTACTGGTCTGGAATATTCCTACACCAAAGCACCTGCTAACATGAGGGGTTTGGTTTTCGGTTAGTTTCCTCGTCGTTTGAGCACCCGAAGCCAGCACTGCATGAGAAACGTTTTCTATCTCCCATGAAATATATACATCTATTCCTTCGTTATTGCCTACCAGATACTGACATCCTCCCACGGACAGGTTTCTACCACTTCACATCCGCCGTGTCCTCTGCTATCGGTCAGGCCTTCGTCTCGCTTTCTGATGATCCACTTTTAGTGTGGAACTACACTGTTGTTGCCATTATCGCTTTCTGCGGAGGTGTTCTCTTCTGGTTGACCTTCAGTGGTCTAGATAAGAAGGAAGAACAGATGAACATGATGAAGGAGTCTGAATACCGCGGCCGCCTCAGGGACCGGCAAGCCAATAAATTGGACGTGGAACTCAAAGAATGAGATGTTACGGCTTCCCTCTTTCTCCCTCTGGTTATTTTAATTCTGTACACATTGCAAACCCGGTCTTCCTTTTTTCATTTTTCTCTTTTTCTTCAGGAAAAGGTGACTGAAGCTGTAAACATGCTTATACCCACCTCTTGTTCTTTATGTTACCTGAATTAGTATCACCAATACATGTGTGAATCATATTATTGATGATATTAACGCCCATTATCACTGATGCCTTTCAAAAAAAAAAAAAAAAAAAAAAAAAATAAGTGAATGAACAACTCTACAACGTTCCCACATGAGTTCTTTTAATGTTTCATTTCGTTACAGAACCAGATATCCCATCTGTTAATTTCATGTTGTGCCGCTTTCAAATTCTGAACTTTATGTCATTATTCCATTCCATCAAATGATTTGTATGTTTCGTATCCTTGCCAAAATAATTGTTAATATACCGAGGATTTCGAAGTTTTGTGTCAATAAAATGTCTGAATGACGCATCATATATCCCCCTCCCCCTATATTTGAAATATCGTTGCATTTGCGATTGCACATGTTGGTTATTGTAGCTAATGAGCTTGGACATTTAATTATTTTCATTTTTTTTTATGGATACGATACCTACCCTATCCTAGGTACCTAGGTTCTTACTTGGTTTTCAAAAGTTTGTCCATTGAAGTAGAATAAGCATGCAGCGTTTGCTTCAATCGCTTTTCATGCTTGAAATGCGCACTGCTTGGTACCCAGGGGGCACACCAGGCCACACCGAAACAGCACTGGAGTCGTGCTGACTCTGCCACGTTTCATCAGGCTATCTGATGCTGCTTCTTGCTGTGGCCTGGTGTGCCCTCGAGGGCTGAGTCAGGGTTTCGATGAGGTGGCATTTGAGACCATGTTACCACGGACTTACAGTTATTTATGGATTTCATTAGCTGTCAATGTAAGTATCTATGCACATACAACAAATACTTCTTCATGAATTTAGTTTTTATTGATGATATATTTCCATCTCATAGTTCCTACCTGTTTTAACGCCAATCATCCAAAGACAGCATATAGCAGTGCGGGGAACTTTTCTGAGAAGAAGCACACCAGAGTCAATGTCAATGATGACAACAGAGAAGTCAAAAGACCCACTTCGGTGTTTAGACTGTCGCTCTCTGATTATTGATTTACATTTGAAGTCCATGCATAATCTGATTCTGGAGACCATACCTACCTGGCTGGATACCTTGTCATTATCACACAAGATGAGCTAGTGATCACCACAGAGGCGTGCGATCTTCCCCCCTTTATAATAAATGGTCTCTTAGAGGGGCCGCCTATGAAGCCTTGCGGCTCGAGGTGCTTCGCACATCACTATAGCCATAGTTAATATGCAACCCCGAAATCATATATCGAGTTGTGGCAAGGCAAGACTTACTGCTTCCGTAAATGGTAGGTATATGTATATTGAACTTAACTAGACCGTTGTTAAGGGATATATTAGTGTCTACAGTTTTGTTGCTTAGGAATCCGGCCCCGCCACGAATCCTATATGGAGGGTAGATAAGTTTGCTGTTTGGTAGTGCCATTTTTATGGCCGTGGTTATCTGCTCTCTTTACATTGGCACTCGATCGGTTTGAATGTGGCAAAGGCCCTGCAATGGGTGGGGGGTTCGGTCGCACGGCAGGTGGCCTAGGTCTGCGATATTTCCAGGTTACTTCACCGGGAAAATCGCAGAAATTGGACAGTTCGTTCATGTCAATCCATAGACCATCAGATACACCCTTTTTGGGGTCGAAAATTTCGAGAATTAGTTGGTCCAGTAGTCTCCAATGTTTGGATGGAGCCAGTCCGGAAAAGCTGTCACCAGACCACACAACGCACATTCCATTTGTTAGAGAAATTACTGCACGAACGTGAAATCCTTCAGTCGTGTCTTTAAAGACTGAATCCTCAGATCTTTTCAAAAAGATATCCAGTTCCATACCCCGGTTGAATGCTCTGTTATCCGGATATGATACCGCAGGATCCACCATTAAGATGTAGTTATTGTTGGTTATTCTTAAGCAGAAGGTACACAAGTTTGGGAACATTCTCTAACAGAAACCTTTGGGGTGTCTAGCGTAAACACCTTGCGGCCATCAATGTACCATATCCGCCCATATCATCTCGAGGGGAGCATTCGCTTGGCTGTAATTGTGGACCACCTCAGCTATTTTAAATATATCCTGATATACAAATCGACGCTGGTAAAACTGGTTCAAGTTTATCTGTCGTTACCTGGATTGAAGTGGACCAGAGGCATAAAAATAAAGCCTCCCCCAAAAAGCTTAATAAGACATCATGGCCGGAAATCCCACCACCTCTCCTTATTGAGAGGAAATTCTTTGGGAGTTGGACCGCCCAAAAAGGTAAAGATCAATGACACTACCTAGTTTATAAGTTAACAAGCACAGTTACCAAATACGACAGATAGCTTGTTCTTTTTGTTTTACTAACCTAGAGCATTGCATTTTAGATATTGACCACCCGCTTCATTCCATTGGAGTTAAGGAAAAACACACCGTAAGTGCCGTATTCGCGTCGGTGGTCGATATATACTGGATGGACACTATACAAGATGGTTCTAGTTTGAATACTGTATGCATCGCGATTGCAGCAAGTCGTAGTATAGTTCGTTGTGTTCAAGCGAAAAGGATTGGTGTGTGTTCGCCCATACCCATACAGATTTGGTTTTGTCAGCGGCAAAGTGCAAACCTCAAATATTGGGATTGGAAAAAGAGATTAGGCTCTGTAGTATCGAAGAGAGCATCGCTGTTGCGTATATGCAATATAGAAATGGAAAAGTGGTCTTCCTCATATGAGAACAGACTTGCGCAGCCCGCGTTGAGGTTTGGGTCAGGGCAAAACTGATTCGGGGACTTCATAAATGTCTCCATTGGGATCACTTATCCTGGCATAAAGACGTGCATCTGCAATGCTTAATATTTAGTAGGAGCCTTGATTTGAACATGTGAATTCAAACTCACCTGTGTTTCATATTCAATCCTTAACTTCAAGTTTTTGAAATCTTCACGGTAGGTATTGCATGGCTTCCCAGTGCGATGTAAATCCGCAACAAGAATGTTTCCTGTTTCGCGCACATGCGAAGCCTTATATCCTGGGCGTTCGCGGAGGGGAACAGGAAAGGCTCCTTGACTGTAAACATCATATCTGTTAACGAAAGCCTGGAGCCTTTTCGAATCCTCTGCCTTTGCCGGTGGCCTTATCCGAGGGGTTAGAAAGCCAAACAATGTCGAAAGATTCGGTAGACTGAACTAAACTACGACAAAGGCCAGCGTTTTCTTCTGTGTGTTCGAGGTAGTGGCTTGTGTAATAGGTAGTCTCTAAGTCTGGAATGATGCAATAGAAACAGAAGGAAGAATATTGTGTGCAGCAGCCAGACTGAAGCTTGGGTAGATTCACCAGAATATGCAAGAGAACATATCAATGGCTGTGGCCAACTGGATTTAGCATTTCCTCCATCTTCTCAGAGGTATCTCGCGATCCCATAAACATGTAGGTACGGAGCTGCTCCGTATAAATAAAAGCGTCTGACGCCAAATCAGCAGACGTCCACTTTCCCAAATCCAAATAGTTTGATTCTATGTTTCTCTGGCTGAAATGACCCAAAGAGGGAGGGGGCTGCACATAAGGCGAGTGAACTGACGATATGACTGATTGCATTAATTAATACGTTTGTTAAATGCATCAACGGAGATATCTAGAGTTAGAAATGCAGTTAGTTAGTTAGTTACCAGCACGCCATTGGCTGGACTGACCCACCGCTTGCAGATGAGCAGGTATAACTAATCATTAACTCGTCCCACTCGAGTGCAATATAGCAAAGATGCCGGCACCATGCCCAAGACTGCTTGAGGACACTTGGGAACATTTTCCTCCGGGGTGATATATGCTGCAATCAATCATGTCCTCGCAACCAACCTCCGTAAGTCATCACCCAGAGATCACCCATACACCCTCTGGAATAACTCAGCCGGAGGAGTTGCAACATCCTGCATATGACGAGAGGTGTGGACAAATTGATTTTAAGCAGAGCGGTTTTGACACAAATGCAGAAGTTGCAGGTATGCTGTGCTGTGCTGTGCTGTGCCTCATGGTGTGTACATTTTCACAGAGTTATTTGCTGACTTCGGCAGATGATGGACGGATCAACATCAACATCAACGAGCACGGTCGAAGGTTGTCACAGTTCTTAAATCCAGTTTTTGTGGCACAGAGCAGCCATACTCACCATGTACAGACCTCTCTAGCTAGAATAGATCAGGGACTTCCTGCGCCACGTCTCAACATCGTTATTCATATTGTTGGGTCTCGAGGAGACGTACAGCCATTTGTTGCCCTTGGACGAGAGTTGAAGCATATCTACGGTCATCGTGTACGACTAGCGACCCATCCTAATTTTAGAGAATTTGTACAGGAACACGACCTGGAATTTTTTAGTATAGGAGGTGACCCCGCTGAACTCATGGCGTTCATGGTGAAAAATCCAGGCTTGATGCCCGGTTTCGATGCGATGCGCAATGGCGACATCGGCAAGCGTCGAAAGGAAATCGCCGAAATAATATCGGGTTGTTGGAGGTCGTGCTTCGAGGCTGGAGATGGTACTGGTGTCCCGGTTACTGATGCTAATCTTGATGCCACTCAAATTGAAAGTGAAAAGCCTTTTGTTGCCCATGCGATCATAGCGAATCCGCCTAGCTTCGCCCACATCCATTGTGCCGAGAAGTTAGGAATTCCATTGCACCTCATGTTCACGTACGTTACGCATAACTACTTGTGCGAATTTGCTAGCGACGATAGCTGATATATTTAACTATTTAGCATGCCGTGGTCTCCAACCCAAGCGTTCCACCACCCCTTGGCCAACATCCAATTTTCAAACGCCAAAGTGGGAGTCGCCAACTTTGTATCCTATGCTCTCGTGGAGTTGATGACATGGCAAGGATTAGGTGATGTCATCAATCGATTTAGGGAGCGTTCCCTTGGTTTAGAGCCAATGAGCATCATGTCGGCTCCTGGTGTACTTCCGCGACTGCGTATCCCTTATACATTTTGCTGGTATGCACACGAACAATTTATACGTTGTGTCATACGTCAACTTTATGTCTAATTTCAACTAGGTCACCAGCTCTGATCCCCAAACCTAAAGACTGGGGTCCTCATATTGATGTATCGGGGTTCTTTTTCCTCCCTTTGGCTTCAACGTATACCCCACCCAATGATTTAGCCGAGTTCCTCGCAGCTGGTCCTCCTCCAGTATATATTGGGTTTGGCTCCATCGTTGTTGAGAATCCCAATGCAATGACTGAACTCATCTTCGACGCTATTAAACTAACCGGGCGGAGAGCATTGGTTTCCAAAGGGTGGGGAGGTTTCGATGCAGAAGAAATTAGAATCCCAGAAGGCATTTTCATGATAGGAAACTGTCCGCATGACTGGCTATTCAAACGGGTAAGTTGTGTTGTTCATCATGGCGGCGCCGGTACCACCGCTGCAGGTATTTACTTGGGGAAACCAACCGTTGTGGTTCCTTTCTTTGGTGATCAACCGTTCTGGGGTTCGATGGTCGCAAAGGCTGGAGCAGGTCCTAAACCAATTCCCCATAAAGAACTAACAACAACTAATCTTGCTACTGCTATTATTGCCGCACTTGAACCTGGCGCCAAATGCCAAGCGGAAGAGCTGGGGACAAGAATTAGGCACGAAAATGGCGTAGCTGAAGGGACCAAATCATTCCATAAACAACTTCATGTCAACTCATTACGTTGTATGCTTATTCCTAGTAGGCCTGCAGAATGGTTTGTTAAACATACAAACATTCGCCTGAGCTCGTTAGCAGTAACAACCCTTGCGAACGAGGGAATTTTGGATCTTAGTGACCTCAAATTGTAAGCAATCTGGCCATGTCGTAATTGATACTCAATCAATAACTAACAAAAACGGGATAGATACCGGCCCCGGGAGTATGATACGGAACCTGGACCCCGAGACCCAATAACTGGAGGAGCTACTGCCTTAATAGAGACCCTTGGAGATTTTACAGTGGGTTTTGCTGATATTCCAGCTGAAATTTTGAAGGCTGTGACACGACCCCGTGCGAAGGGGAAGTCAAAATCTGGATCAAATTCACCTAAAATGGCTGCTCAAAGGTTCTCTACGAAAGCAACCTCTCCTTTAGTTGAAGCCTCCACGGCTACTCTTTCAACAACCGAAACTGCCTCTGACTCTGGAACTGTTGTAGCTGTCGGGGAAGAGAGCCCAGAGAATGGAAACGGACTGACATCGAATTCTGCTTGCCCAGAGCGTGAGACCAGGTACGTATAACGGCAAAAACGGCGGATCTATTTGCCCTTCAAATGCTAATTTACACCCTCCATGAAACTCAAGTATCGGCGAAGCCAAAAGCCATAGTATTTCTGCAGCTGATATCATAAGCGCGGGGCACGCAGCAACGAAATTTATCAATCTGGGCCTCAAGTCTCCAATGAGCTTCACTTTAGGGATATCAAAAGGGTTCCACAACGCCCCCAAACTGTATGGAGACAAGACCGTGAGAGAGCCTCCAAAGGTAACAGGCTTCCATAGCGGAATTAGAGCTGCTGGAAAGGTTCTGTACCAATTGACTACCGTGTTTGGAGCTAGAATATGTACGCTGACTACGGAATAGGAGCTTGGCTATGGATTATACGACGGAATTACGGGCTTGGTTACCCAACCCCTTGCTAGACGAAAGGATGGAGTTGGTGGTGTCATGAAAGGTTTTGGAAAAGGCATCGGTGGCCTGATACTCAAGCCCGGAGCAGGTAGCTATAGATTCCTTAAATTTCTTGACGGCAGCGATTCTGATAGTTCCTCCGCAGGGTTTTTTGCTGTGACTGGCTATACCATGAGCGGTGTTTACAAAGAAATCCAAAAGCGTTTGGGGTCAAGCGTCGAAAATTATATCATTGCCTGTCGAAGTATAGAGGGATACGAAGAATGGAGTAGGTCTACCAAGGTTGAACGTGACACGGTTATCCAATCATGGTATTCCCTCAGCGACAACCCAGCTGTGAAAGGAAGAAAGTCGACATTCTCATCCGAGTCAAAGACATTATCACGTAGAATTTTTGATCCCTCGCACCTGTCACTACATACGTGGGAGGCCACCAGGGACAGCACTTCATCTGGAGATGAAAACCTTCCTTCCGAAGGATTGTTCCAGAGATCCCGTTCGACCAGGCAGAAAAAACGACATTCAATCCATCAAATTATTTACCGCCTGCACCGTGACCTCAGCCCCTCAGTTTCTGGCGAAATCGAAAAAGCAATCCTCGACTCCGTTAAGCAGTCATCTACAGGAAACTCGGAAGATGATAAGATGATCGAGCGTGCCATCCGAGCCAGTATTGCTGAGCTGCAAGCGGCAGAGGCAGATGGGAAAGACGAGCAGGAGGCCTACGCTCGGGCAATCAGCGCGAGTATCGAGGAGGCAAGCCTAGTGCGGCAGGATCAAGCGCATGGAAATGATCTGCGTGATACGCGACATGGCGTAACAAACCTTGATGGTTCGTCCACGGCAGATCCCAGCAGGCATGACACATATTGCGACGCAGATAGTGATCTTGAACGTACTGAGAAGCTGCGCAGAGCGATTGCGGAAAGCTTGAATATGGAGACGGGGGGCCACTCCATCCCAATGATATAAATAATTTTATTCTGCTATTCAATTGCTTTTTATATATTTTCTTCCCGTTTTTACAATTTACTTCCACTTAATGTTGTTAAGCTAACTGTTTGGCTGGATACCCCTAGCATAAATTTTCTTTTTCCTTTTTTCTTTTTTTTTTGTTCTTGTCTTTTTCTGAGAAACTATTTCATGTCTCGTTATCATCTGCATATTTCCTTGTTCTCTATACACGCGACACACTGACGTCATTTCCTATGCTGAGCGTGGTGGATAGCAATCTGGTTGGTCATGATCCAGCACATGCATAGAAAAAGCAATGGGCCTAGATCATGGAGTGCAGCTGGGCTTGTAGGTTATTTCCGGACCTGAAGTGATCTTGGATCTGATTGAATATAAACAGCCGTGCAGTGTATCTCTCTCTGCCTGTGTTGGCGTTTGTGTGTCTACGGCTCTGGTCTAATGTCTCTCTATTGATATCTTTCTGTTCATTTGCGGAGTCACGATGAACCCCAGGAAAATCCAGAATAGGAGCAAGCACTCCCTCTCTTTTGCGTTATTCCGTGTATATATATACCTGCTTTGGATGTGGTGTACACGAAGCTCATATGCCCCTGACCCGCATGTCCTGGGCTGCGATTCCATATCTCGGGACCGGGGGAGGTCATTCATTCATTCACCCCCCGCGTTTCGCCTGCCCCAAACGTGTAACACGCCTTCCGCACCGGATATGGGTGCGTCTTACACCAGCGACGGTGAACACCCATTGACAGTGATATCAGTCCCAATTCCCCATCTCAAGTTCTGTGCATTTCCCCCTTTCTTCTGCTTTTCCCCGTGGCATATTTTCCATCCATTCCTAGCCTTCGTCTGTTCTGTACCAGCTTTCTTCTCTCCACGATAGAGTTTGAATCCAACTCCAGGGGCAAGAAGGCAAAAGTTACCTCAACTCAGGATGCGACCAGGCACGTCCTTTACCAGCCTTACCAGTGCGATCATCGCATCTCTCACGATTTCAGGACTTGTTAGCAGCGTTAGTGGGGTCTGGACGTGCCCCAGCGAGCGAGAGCCCTTCTGCTGTGCTAAGCACTCGAGGGTCAATGATACGTCAGATGCGTTTGTTGGGACGGGGTGTAAGTGTTTTGTATCTCCCGTTTTCTGCGGGTCAGTTTCTATTGGTGATGGTTGTAATTCATATGATATTTTTCTATCAAAGGAACAACTACTCCCTCAATGTTGTTTACCTGTGACCCTTCACTCTGGAAAGGATTTTACCTGCTCCCGGTTAGTTTGGCTGACCAATGTGGATCTGGAAATACTCAAACAGGTGTCGATGCACCCAGAAACGATAACTGTACTAATGGGATTCCTGTTGAATGTTGTAAGCCGTTGGTATGTATCAATGGAGCGTTGTGCTCTCTCTTTTTATCTCAATTACCCTTTCCTCCTTATTCGTGTTCAGGTTTCTCACGAGCATACTTGCTTTTTCTATTACATAGACACCAGAATCACCAAAGGATTCCTGCTCAGCATCAAATTCAAATGAGAGGTTTTATTGCGATAGCAAGGCCATCGGATACACTGCTTGATAGCGGGTATTAATACGGGAGAGGAAAGGAGCAAGCTTCTGTATCAGTATTGATTGACAATCGAAAATGCGAGAAAATTATAGGACAAACGGCTGAAAGAATCTTCTCGGGGATATTGATCCATGTTATATATACATATACATATATTATATCTTTTATGTGAACTGTGCGATATTGTGATGTTGTTGGTTGAGAGGGTTCACAAGCGGAGAAATTTGTCTAAATTGATTATCTACTTATGATACTTTATACCAGCTAGTTTCGCAGTTTTCGGGATGGTCAGTTGTTTCTACAGTTACTAGCTCGACAATGATAAAAATTGCAGAGTGGTTAGCAGGCGTCGTCAACATTTGTGTAATACTTATGGCACCCAGAGATTTGATATCATGTTAACGCTTCTGAAACATGAAATGGGTGAGCTAGATAGGTGGTTTCTTTTCCGTAACTAACTGGAGCAAAGGCTGAAGGCAGGAAACACTAGAGGGAATTAACTAGCTTCCCACCTAATGAACAACATCTTAACAGGCGGAAACACGGTTGGAGATAACTCTCCCTATCCACTTTCAAGCCAATATCCGCACTCCAGAAAGGCAATGTCATTGCCTAGCGGGAAGTTCCCAGTCCGATGGATGACCTTCCAACAAACAGGAAACAAATCAGTCCTGTCGAGGGGGAATCTATAGCAGAGTATCTTTAGGCGACACGGCAAACGGGGAGCTAGGCGAATAGGAATGGTTGTTTTTTTGCAACTTTATGAAACGGATAATATGGGGAATTGACGTGTGTAGATCGACCTCGTAACTACTGTTCTATGACGATCGTATATATATATTTATTTCCGGAAGTGTGAATGGAATATCTTGCCCCTGAAAATACATTAGGAAAGCATTTCTCACTCCCGCTCAGCATCCCCACAATTCCTCCGCATTGCGCCGAAATAACCTATCCGCCATGTCAGCATCTCCTTCCGCACACCACCCCAAGCAAGCCTTCACAAACGGCGTTATATTCACCCCATCAAACCGCGTATGCGGCCAGTCCGTCGCAAAGACCAATCTCTCCTTGCCCGCTTGCATCATCTCACGCATCAGAACGCCCAGATGCTTGAACTCAGGATCGTCGCTTAGCCTATACGGCGCGGAAATCTTGACATATGTATTTCCCTGCTCCAGAAGGGAGACTAGCTCTGTAAACCCAGGTAATGCGTATGGGTTCAATGACAATAACGACGATGACGGCAATGTCGGCTTCGCGAAATGATCCAGACATACCTTCACGCCCAGCTCAGGAATGATTTGCAAAACTTCTAGCAATGCCTGCATAGGCAAGTAGAGTTGTAGAACCCACCCATACGGGCGTATGGCATCTGCATACTGATGGAGAGTGCGTTGGAGCTCGTCTTTGTCTAGCTGCTGGGGCACGGAGACAAAATTCAACCTCACTCCCCTGACACCGAGCCGGTGCCAGTTCGCTAACGTGCGGTCATCGTCTTTATGACCGTCTGCAGTAATGGCAGCTGCGTCGAAACAAACAACACCTCGGGCGCGTGTAGGGCCTAGCTGCTTCAGCCCATCAAGCAAGAGTGCATTATCATAGCCATAGATGGAAGGCTGGACGAGGACGAGGTTGCGTATTCCTAGAGTTGATTCAAAAGCGAGAGCTTGGGGGAGGGTATGCGTGCTGGGGATGTAAGTGGCATTTTGGGAGAGCGGGTATTGGACGGGGTCTACGATGTGCATGTGGCTGTCCCAGGAGTTTGGGGGGAGCGTTTGGGGTAAGGATGTGAGAGTTGATTGGGATCTTCGGCTCCTCAAGGGAATTGTGGATGGGTTGGCCATGGTGGTGATCCTCCTACAAGGATGCTTCTTCGTCCATGTTTTTGACAAGATCTGTCTAGAGAAGGGAATATACATTGTTTAACAGTCTCTGGAAATTCGCGAATGGGGAAGGTTAGTTTTTACTTTTATTTCAAGTGTCATCTTGGGATTCAAGATGTGTGGAGTTGCTTAATTTAAACATAATTCCCCACTGAGTGAGCTAATGACGAATTCAAAGTATTCTCAATTTCCTAATCTCATTCACCTCAATGCACAATGAGGCCATCAATCCGCATAAAAAAATAAGAAACTCCATAAAAATAGAGGGGAGAATTGAACTTGTAAAGTTCACTCTTAAGAAGGAAGAAATATCTTTAATTCCTGAAGCTATAATCTGTTTGAAGTGTCATACTTTACACTGAACGTTGACTAGTTAACTAGTTAATGTAATTCCCTGCTTGAGTACAACCGAGTCAGACTCAAATTGAAACTTGTAGTTATTTAATTTATCAACCAACCTACTTTGACGCGTCAAAATGCCACCAATTCGCAATAAAAACAAAAGAAACTCTATAGAAATAGAGGGAAGAATTGAACTCATGATATTCACCTTGAAAAATAAAGAAATTACCTCTATTTACAAAGCAGCAAGACTATATGATATTTTATACTCTACTTTTGCTGATCAATTGAAAGGCAGCTTTTCACATACAATCTTATATAAAAATTCACATTGATTAAATGAAACTGAAGAGGAAATACTTGTTCAGTGAGTACTAAGTTTTATCAAATTAGAATTATCTTCTAGACCTGCTTTTGTGAAAAATATTATTTTTTTATTATATAGGATTCTATATATTTTTCCTTTTATATTGATAAGAATTATGTTTTAAATAAAGTATTGTACAGAGTTGCAAAATTAGTATTAATAACATTATAATTACAAATCAAGTAAAATATAAAGATATTAAAATTATTTAAAAGTAATTTGATACTTTGAATAATATCTTTGCTTAATATAATATTTAATTTGAAAATATCTATAATTTTAATAAAATTAAATTTATAATAAAACTCTGTATAACTGTCATGGCTCAGTCTAGATTCAAGATGATAACAAGACAATAGCTTCAATTCATCCATCTAACTAGGTAGCTAGGACGAGAATACTAAACTGAGGTTTAGAATATGAAATGAATGAGCAACTGAATATGAAGAGGTTGAAGATTGGAGCGGATCAACTTCTCGGAGCAGAGCGGCCTTTTCGGAGCGGAACAGATGAACCCTTGATCCATATTACAAGCAACTGCGCCGTAACAGCAACTATAAAAGTTGTTATTAACTTTGAATAATATAGTTGTACAAAGTATCTTCAGTTTGAAAACTGTGAATAACTTACAGTTGATTAAGTCAGTGAATGTATTATATTAAAATTTTCTCTGTATATGTTACGGCGCAGCTGCTTGTATATGGATTAAGGTTGATCCGCCCCGCTACCTCTAAAGGTTGATCTGTTCCGACTCCAACCATATTCGGTCGCTCAGGTTGATCCGATCCGATCCCCAACCACCTCTATATATTCGGCTGCTCGTTCATTCTTCATTCTAATCCTCAGTTTAGTATTCTCGTCGCAGCTGCCTAGTTAGATAGATGAATTGAAGCTGTTGTCTTGTTATCATCCTGACTCTAGTTGAGCCATGATAGTATATTATTCTTAAAAGTTAAAACATTCAAAAAAACTAATTTTAATAAATTATTAAATAATTAAAAACTTAATATTAACTTTAATGATTAAATAATAAATGAGATTGAGCTTAGATAATTTAAAAAATATTTATTTTAACTTTAAATTTAATCAACTTTAAATAAAAATAATAACATTTTTCTTTATATATTATTTTATTTATTATATTTATTATAAATTAAATATAAAAAATATTTAAATTAATTAAAATTAATTTAAAAATTATATATTTTTTATTTTAATAATTTATAATAATTATTTATATTTAAATTTAATTAAAATTATATTATAAATAATATTATATTATTATTATATTATTTATATTTTAATTATATAATTTTAAATAAATATATAAAAATTTTTTAATTTTTTAATTAATTAATTTAATAACTTTAATTATTTCAAATTTCATAATATATTAATTTATTTTTGTTAATTTTAATAACTATATTAGTTTAAATAATTAATAAAATAAAATTTATAAAGATAAAATAATTAATATTTTTTAAGAAAAAATAATATCAAAATATATTTATTATGAATAAAAATAAAAAGTAAAAATATAGATAATTTAATAGTAAAGTTCAACATGAAAAACATTTAACTAAAAGAAAATTTCAAAATTTTATTCTTTTATTTGCTGTTTATTGAACATCTTATTATTTAATTCCTTATAGCTTTAATAGTAAAGACTAGAGATGCAGCAATTAAAATATATTCAGACATATAAGATTAAGATGCTCTAATTCTAATGTCATTTAATTTAATTAATTAGTGGTTGTTGAGTGTAGATATTTCAGGTTAAAATCTATATAATACATTATTCTTATTTTCCGTGGCTCGCTCAGTGAGGAATGACGTTATTAGACTTTGTCTGTTCATAGTCCTGGACCTAGATCAGCGCTGGTTATTAATATAAAAGGCTCGCTAAGGGATTCAAATACTCCAGGGGCAAAAAAGGCGGTCTGGGATATTTATGCGAAGTAGGCATATATTGCGTCCGTCTTGGAAACTAGGGAGGAAATGTGGGTTAATATCCAGGGCATCCTTTACATTAAACTGCACTGTTTCTAACGTGGTCAGAGGGACACCAATATTGTTTGTAAAAGTGTCATACACATGCTTTTTATTGTTAAGTACAGAGTACCTAGATCCAAATATACAGAACTGATTAGTTGTATCGCAGGTGAAGGGAATAATTTTAACTAATACCCAAGTTTCCAAAACCCCAATTGAGCGTATAAATCAGACGGTTAAACACCACAACCTTGGAAGAGAAGAGAAAGACAGATCTCTCGAACTAATTCTCACAGCAAAAGAGAAAGATATGAAAATAATAGAAATAAATAAGGTGTAGTGAGGGAAAAGCGATTTGTATGATTATGTAAAATATTCCTGAAGTTACGTGTCATATTCATCTCCACGATATATCATTCGCC